TCCACTTTACTGCTGGATCTTTAATATGGAGAACCTTAAAGAAGGCTCTAATCCACTTTACTGCTGGATATTTTACATGGAGAACCTTAAAGAAGGTTCTAATCCACTTTACTGCTGGATCTTTAATATGGAGAACCTTAAAGAAGGCTCTAATCCACTTTCCTGCTGGATCTTTTACATGGAGAACCTTAAAGAAGGCCCTAATTTACTTTCCTGCTGGATATTTTACATGGAGAACCTTAAAGAAGGTTCTAATCCACTTTACTACTGGATCTTTTATATGGAGAACCTTAAAGGTTTTTATTCATATTACTGCTGGATGTTTTATATGGAGAACCTTAACGAAGGTTATTATTTGCTTTACTGCTGAATCTTTTATAGGGAGAACCTTAAAGAAGGTTTTTTATTCATTTTACTGCTCGATCTTTTATATGGAGAACCTTAAAGAAGGTTCTTATTAATTTTACTGCTGGATCTTTTATGTAGAGAACCATAAAGAAGATTCTTAATTGCTTTCCTGCTCTTTTTTAAGGAGAAACGTAAAGAAGGTTTATATTTGCTTTGCTGCTGGTTCTTTTATATAGAGATCTTTAAAGAAGGTTCTCATTCACTTTACTGCTAGATATTTTATATGGAGAACCTTAAAAGGGTTCTTATTCACTTTGTTCTGTCACACCTCCCTCTGACTCTCCCGCATCTGAGACTCTTGTGCTCCTGAACTCCAACTCCCAGGATTCAGAAGAGGATCACATGACTCAGACCTCTCAGGCATCAGCCTATCTCAGATCAGCTTCCCCCGATTACTGATTCTCCTCACCTGTGTCCAGCCCTGTGTATGTTGTTTGTTTGTCCCTACGTCTTTGAAAAGCTCTTCCTAAGTTTCACTGAGTTGACTGATTGGTGTTTGACTGCCTGTCCTGCTGTGTTTTTGACCAGACTTGTTTTTGTCTTTTTGACCTCTGTCTGAATGTCCCTTTGGGCTTTTTTCACACTCTCTCCTTTTTCTCCTCACCGCTGGATCTTTTATATGGAGACGCCATAAAGACGGTTCCTTTTTCTCCTCACCACTGGATCTTTTATATGGAGACGCCATAAAGACGGTTCCTTTTTCTCCTCACCACTGGATCTTTTATATGGAGACGCCACAAAGAAGGTTCCTTTATCGCCTTACTGCTGGATCTTTTACATGGAGACGCCATAAAGAAGGTTCCTTTTTCTCCTCACCGCTGGATCTTTTATATGGAGACGCCACAAAGAAGGTTCCTTTTTCTCCTCACCGCTGGATCTTTTATATGGAGACGCCACAAAGAAGGTTCCTTTTTCTCCTCACCGCTGGATCTTTTGTATGGAGACGCCATAAAGAAGGTTCCTTTTTCTCCTCACCGCTGGATCTTTTATATGGAGACGCCACAAAGAAGGTTCCTTTTTCTCCTCACCGCTGGATCTTTTATATGGAGACGCCACAAAGAAGGTTCCTTTATCGCCTTACTGCTGGATCTTTTGTATGGAAAACCTTTAACAAAGCGATTATTTGCTTTACCGCTGGATCTTTTATATGGATACTGTTGAACATTTTGAATGGGGAGCCTTAAAGAAGATTCTTATTCACTTTACTGCTGGATCTTTTATATCGAGAACCTCAAAGAAGGTTCTTATTTGGTTTCCTGCTTGATCTTATATGTGTAGAACCTTAATGAAGGCTTTTGTATCATTTTCTGCCAGATCTTTTATTTGCAGAACCTCAAAGAAGGTTCTTATTTACTTTACTATTGAATCTTTTATATGGAGAACCTCATAGAAGGTTCTTTTTCATGTTCCTGCTAGATCCTTTATGTGGATAACCTTAGTTTTCTCGCAGTCAGGTTCTTCGACTTGAACAGAGAGAAGGAAACTGTAAGGTAACACAGTTTTGTTGTGCTGTGTGGGGCCCATATGGACGAAAATATATTCCAAATGTATTTATGAAATATATTTTTGCGGCGTATGAAATTTGATTAATACATTTTTAAATGCATTTACTTGTATTGATCTTTTTTAATTGTGTGTAGGTTTAACAAATATTACAGATGTAACTAAATATTCATGAACTGAACAGCACTGACTTCTGTGATCTGCACTGTACTCTACATTAACCATGTACGTCTGCAGTCAGACTCTCACACACAATGTATTTCACACAAACAAGATATCAGATCATAACTGCATTTTCACAGAGTATCAATACCCACAACACTCGCTTCTGTCCTGCTAAAGGATCATTAGATCAGATTTAAAATGAAGATACTGGAACACAAATTCATTTCTAAAGGGATCAGACAGGATTCTGGGTATTTTCATACATTTTCAGATGGATTTATAAACACATTAACATACGTTTATTTTTGTCTGGTACATTTCTATGTGTAATATTGGTCCATGTATTTTAAAATAATGTGTGTATGGATGTATGTGTATATATATATATATATATATATATATAATATATACTTGGTTTAATATGGAAAATATTCTGAAACACATTTCAGTGTTTGGAATATATTTCAGCGTCGACTGCAATGTATTTGAAATATATTTTAAATTATATAAAAATACATGTCTATATATATATTGTATATAGGGGACAAAAAACACTGCGTGTTGCCAACACATGTCATGAGACATGGAGTCAGTACAACTTAAAAAGATTTACATTTCCAGCTCTACCCATCAGGCCTTCCAGAAACCTTCTTATGGAGTCTGGACCTCAGAGCAGGTAGCACGTCTATGAGTGTATCTGTGTGTGAGCTACTGGATATTGGGTGTTGCAGTGTGGGCTAAAACATTACTACAGGTACCAGCTGATGATTATAGCACTGCTGACTGTGATTTCACAGACATCCACTAGGTGGAGCCAGTCACATAGAGAAACCAGCTCAACATGTCTATATTTCTCGTATGTGTTGTTTTTTGGATGAGTTTGTGTTAAAAGTGAATGAGGGTGATATTGTGATATTGTGATGCATGAATGTGACAGTGCACCATGGAGAACAGACAGTATATTAAATATGGCATGGAATGCAACTGCATTGTTTGAGAACCAAAGTTCACGAACAACCAGCACCAACCAAAAACCTGCTCCAGCACGTTCATTAGCAGGCTGTGCTACAACACAGATCATCATTTTTCTTCATTCGAGTTTTGAATTTGAGAATATCAAATATCAAATCATATTGAATTGTGGACAGAGTGTATCGTTACACCCCTAAAACTGAATAATATGACTGTGATTGTGTTGTAGAGTAGAGTATATACTGATGCAGTGTACAGTATACGGTATATACTGATGCAGTGTCCGGTGTATATACTGATGCAGTATATGGTATACGGTACATACCGATGCAATATACGGTATATACCGATGCAGTAGACAGTAAACGGTATAGACTGATGCAGTATGCGGTATACAGCGTATATTGATGCGGTATATGATATACAGTGTATACTTCTGCAGTATACCGTATAGAGTATATGCTGATGCAGTATACGGTATAGAGTATATACTTCTGCATTATACAGGTACACAGTATATACGGTATAGAGTATATGGTTGCAGTATGTGGTATAGGGTATATACTGATGCAGTATATGGTCTAGAGTATATACTGATGCAGTATATGGTCTAGAGTATATACTGTTGCAGTATATGGTTTAAAGTATATACTGATGCAGTATATGGTATACAGTATACTGATGCAATATACGGTATAGATTATATACTAATGCAGTATATGGTGTATACTGATGCAGTATATGCTATAGAGTACATACTGATGCAGTATACAGTATATACTGACGCAGTATACGGTATACAGTATAGACTGATGCAGTATACGGTATACAGTATAGACTGATGCAGTATACGGTATATACTGACGCAGTATACGGTATACAGTATAGACTGATGCAGTATACGTAATACTGAGTAGTATACGGTATACAGTATAGACTGATGCAGTATACGGTATATACTGACGCAGTATACGGTATACAGTATAGACTGATGCAGTATACGGTATACAGTATAGACTGATGCAGTATACAGTATATACTGATGCAGTATACGGTATACAGTATAGACTGATGCAGTATACGGTATACAGTATAGACTGATGCAGTATACAGTATATACTGACGCAGTATACGGTATACAGTATAGACTGATGCAGTATACGGTATACAGTATAGACTGATGCAGTATACAGTATATACTGACGCAGTATACGGTATACAGTATAGACTGATGCAGTATACAGTATATACTGACGAGTATACGGTATACAGTATAGACTGATGCAGTATACGGTATACAGTATAGACTGATGCAGTATACAGTATATACTGACGCAGTATATGGTATACAGTATATACTGACGCAGTATAAGGTATACAGTATATACTGACGCAGTATAAGGTATACAGTATAGACTGATGCAGTATACAGTATATACTGACGCAGTATATGGTATACAGTATATACTGACGCAGTATAAGGTATACAGTATAGACTGACGCAGTATATACTGTATACTACAGAGTTTAGGTTTGGTTTAATTATAAAAGGAACATGATAAAGTGAATAATTTCACTTGATAGAAAAATAGTTATGTTCTCTCTCTCTCTCTCTCTCTCTTTCTCTCTCTCTCTCTCTCTCTCTCTCTCTCTCTCTCTCTCTCCCTCTCTCTCTCTCTCTCTTTCTCTCTCTCTCTCTCTCTCTTTCTCTCTCTTTCTCTCTCTCTCTCTGTCTCTTTCTCTCTCTCTCTCTCTCTCCCTCTCTCTCTTTCTCTCTCTTTCTCTCTCTCTCTCTCTCTCTCTCTCTCTCTTTCTCTCTCTCTCTCTCTCTCTCTCTCTCTCTCTCTCTGAGCTGAGAGATGTGAGTTGTACTGTGCTGTATTTCCTGAATGGGCGGAGTCAGAGAGAGTGGGCGTGGTTGTGTGTGTCAGGTGCAGCTGGAGAATCAGTCAGTGATTTCATTTGCTCTCAGCTTCTCACCTGGCAGGTGTTCAGAGCTGCTACAGGTACGCTTCCTCTCACACTCTGTTACTGTCTGTGTATCTGACTCTACCGTTTCACTCATATCATTAATTCTAACCTCTGTTCTCACTCAGTTATGATGTTATTTCAGATGTGAGCATGTAGGTCTAAATAAACAGTGTCTTAAATCTACATTTTTAAAAGCAGGGATTCAGAATTACATTAACATACAGCTGTAAACAAAAATCTGAACACGTTTTGCTGAATTATCTGCACATCTATGTGCTGCGATTAACACATTAAGGAAAATGAATTCAAACTTGTAAAATGCACCATAACATTCACTTTTTAGGCATTTCTCCATTTTTTTTACAACATGTTAAATTCAGTAAATAAGTTAACACACTTTTATTTATTTGCTGGGATTAACATGTTAGGAAGAAAATAAAAACAGTTTTAATATAATAGTATAATAATCCCAGCAAATAAATAAAAATTATGCATTAATTTGCTTGGCAGTGTTCAACATAACAATGGAGTCTATTGATACATGACGATCATGAAACAACATTTATTAATTAAAATGAATAAACATAGTAATAATAGTAATATCATTGTTACTATTCTGAATAATTATACGCATGTTAATGTATATAAGGTGAATGTTTTGATATAATTAGATAATGAGTGAAACAGTCATTTTTTATTTACTGAAGACACAAACACATGTAAATGGTCTAAATGTAAAACACTGTGTTTCCTGTTTGTTATTTACAGTGTGGCTGTTATTATAGCTGTGTGTGTAAATATGTTTATTTATAGTCTTTATTTATAAACACTGACTCTGTATCTGTAGAGACGCTCCTCGGGGAATGGAGCTCTGAGGGGAGTCAGGAGTGCGTGTGTGTTATATACGATGGAGAATCCTGTTCTATTTGATCTATTTAGGTTAACTACAGTAACGTACAGTATAAAAATCACTGTACTTTCCCTCTATATTCAGCTTTTATACACCAAATAATCACTGATAAATAAAACAATGTGAACATTATGTATTAGTCATATGATAATACCACAGGAGGCATTTACACTCCTCCACTGATGTTTCAGTGACTCTTTACACATCATATTTTCTGTGTGTATATAATGTACATGTTATTTTTACATATTATTATATTTCCACTTTGATTATTTTCTAATACACTGCTCTTTAACTACCTCTTTGGTTTAATATTTAAACACTAAACTTTCTGGAGAACATTTTAGTTTCCTGGGAAACACGTTATAATTCATTGTTACTGAATAATTCATAGTAGATACAACAAATTCCCACATTCTTAAAAAAGAGAGTTCTTTAAGGGTTTATAGAACCATGAACACTTGAGATTAAAGGGTTCCTTGCATCCTGAAATGGTTCTTCAGATTGATGGAGACTGTGTTGCATTTGGGTCTATTCAGAACCATTTTAAAAATGGTTCTATACAGCACCAAAAAGGGTTCTTCTGTTATTACGAAGAACCGCTTCACCAAGCAGAGAACCATTTAAACACACAAAGTGTGTGCATGGTTCTGTATAGAATCATTTTCTTTACTAAAGAACCCTTGAAGAATCTTTTTAAGTGTGTAGTAGATACTGAACAATTCATAGTAGATACTGAATAATTCATAGTAGATGCTGAATAATTCATAGTAGATACTGAACAATTCATTGTAGATACTGAATAATTGATAGTAGATGCTGAATAATTCATAGTAGATACTGAACAATTCATTGTAGATACTGAATAATTGATAGTAGATGCTGAATAATTCATAGTAGATGCTGAATAATTCATAGTAGATACTGAACAATTCATTGTAGATACTGAACAATTCATTGTAGATACTGAATAATTGATAGTAGATGCTGAATAATTCATAGTAGATGCTGAATAATTCATAGTAGATACTGAACAATTCATTGTAGATACTGAATAATTGATAGTAGATGCTGAATAATTCATAGTAGATGCTGAATAATTCATAGTAGATACTGAACAATTCATTGTAGATACTGAATAATTGATAGTAGATGCTGAATAATTCATAGTAGATACTGAATAATTGATAGTAGATACTGAATAATTCATAGTAAATACTGAATAATTGATAGTAGATACTGAATAATTCACAGTAGATGCTGAATAATTCATAGTAGATACTGAATAATTCATCGTAGATGCTAAATAATTCATAGTAGATACTGAACAATTGATAGTAGATACTGAATAATTCACAGTAGATACTGAATAATTGATAGTAGATGCTGAATAATTGATAGTAGATACTGAATAATTGATAGTAGATGCTGAACAATTGATAGTAGATACTGAATAATTGATAGTAGATACTGAATAATTGATAGTAGATGCTGAATAATTGATAGTAGATACTGAATAATTGATAGTAGATGCTGAATAATTGATAGTAGATACTGAATAATTGATAGTAGATGCTGAATAATTGATAGTAGATACTGGATAATTGATAGTAGATACTGTATAAATGACAGAGACAGAATTAAGGCCTTTAAGGTCATAGTTTGGTTGAACATGCTAATGTAGCTAACTGTAATTGGAGGTTAGCAGTGTGCGTAGTGTGAATAGAGCTGATTGGTGAATCTGAGTCAGTAGTTACAGTGAGCAGCAGCAGTGAGTAATAAACACCCCAGGGCTCCCAGAGTAAAGGCTTAATATTAATATAATAAACTGTATTATGATATAAACAAAGCCAGCGGTGTGGCTCCGAGACGTCCTATACCTGTGTGTGTGTGTGTGTGTGTGTGTGAGAACCTGTAGAACCGGCCGTTCTGCTGCTGTAGATTTTCCGTCTTCATTGTTGGCCTTTTGTCACTCCAGTGTTGAGCAGTGTGTGTGTAAAGTGATCTTTCGGGTCTTTTGTGAGCAGAGCTTTAGTGTGTGCTGTGTAGGAGGGGTGACACACCCTAATCACACAGATTTAACTTTTCACCAAGATCCAAGATGCCAAAGTGTGTACATGTATATGCATATATCGCTGCTGTTGGAACAGAACATCATATCTCTGAAATGGTAACTTTACAGGAGAAGGAAAAAAACCTACTTCATTTTTAATGTACGTCAATGGAACCAGAATTTTTTCCAAGTAATTTTGGGTCATTTGTTTTGGCCCATTCATCATGGAATTTACACACACTGTAAAGAGCAACAGGTACTTTCAAATAATGTAAAAAACTGAAAACGTCAAAAATGGAGATACATGGTATTTTTCTGAGAGCAGTGAAATATCTATTGATTAGAACTTGTACAGTCATATTCAAGAACTTAAAGAGCTATTATATATTATATTATATATATAATATGAAATGTGTGTGTGTGTGTGTGTGTGTGTGTATATAATCAATACACATGAGTAAACACTTCAGCACACTGTAAAAAAATACTGTTTTAAATCGAAAAGGTTCATTTAAATCAGGCTGTGTTAATATTTTGAGCTTATTTAACTTTAATTTTGAGGCAGGATGTGAAATAATTTTTTTAAGTTACAGCAGCAGTTTATTCCTTTTTACAGTCCAGCAGTTCAGACCTGCAGTTAGCACCATGCTAATTGGTGGCGTTTAAGATTAACTATATTACACAGGGCAAGTTTATTTATACAGCACCTATTATACACTGCAGTCATTCAAAGTGCTTTACAGGTGAGAAAATACAAAGATAATTCAAACTTAAAAAGTAACAAAGAGAACAGAAATTAAAACATTATAACAGTAAAACATCTGTTTATAACAACAGATTTAAAGGAGAATGAATAAATACTACATTAAAAAATCTAATTAGAAATGAATTGATGATCATAGAGCGGCGTTAGAGGAGAGAAGAGCAGCAGAGCTAACAGAGTTTAAACTGATCTGAAAGCTCTAACAGGAACGTTTTCAGGCTGATTTAAAGTGACCAGTGTCGGGGCTCTTCTAATGCTCTCTGTCCACTGGGTCCATTTAAGAGCAGCACAGTATTTAAACGCTGCTTCTCCATGTTTAGTCTTCACCTTCGGACTGACTGACCAGTTCCTAATGATCTGAGAGTTCTGCTCGGCTCATATCGCTGCAGCAGGTCAGATAAATACGCTGCTCCTGACCATTAAGACATTATAGAGCAGTGACAGCACCTTGAAGCGGTTCTCCACCGATTTTTCCACATTTTTGCAACATTAACAGATTCAGAAAGTTCATTCAGAGTGGTCTGATGTTCACAGTGGTGGTGATGGGAACCAGACGTCCACCTCTAAAAGCTCCCTCACAGAAAGTTCCTACAGTAAATGGTTATGAATTCACTGCCTGATGACTGAGACACTGTTTTATGATAGTTTAGAGAACTTAAACTCCATTCATGGGTGGAGGGATACATGCAGGGCGCTGTGAGGCAAAATAGTCCCCAAAGAAAACTTATTATTTCAGATTTTCCACTATTTTCCATCATCAACATTCCATATAAATTTTGATAGTAGACACTGAATTTTGAGCTTTACACTGGTAACAGTCTGGATGATTGGCTGTGGCTAAAAGCCAGCAGAAATATTACCTCTGTTTTCTATATTTAGTCATTTTTAATTTTGTCAGGATTCAATTTGACGACATCTGAAAATTGTACTTGTTTAAAAATACTATTAAACATGATAAACATTATAAATGAGTTCTATGCAGAACGATTTTCATTCACCATTCTTTGCATGGTGAACTGGTTCTTAAGGTTGATGAAAAGTGTGTTTTTATGGTTGTATATAGCACCAAAAAGGTTTGTGCCATGGTTGTGATGTCAAGCTTGCATATAATAGAAGATAATAATAGATGTAGTAGAACCCTTTTTGTGCTATAGAACGATATATAACACATTCTCCATCAATCTGAAGAACCATTTTACCATACAAAGAACAATTTGTGCATGCAAATGGTTTTGTGAGTGTTCATGGTTCTAAATAGAACCATTATCTTTACTAAAGAATCCTCTTACAGGCTGCCTTAAATTATTTAAACATGATAATAATAAGTTGAATAAGCAGTATAATAAATAATATGTAATATAATACAGTAGAATAAATATAATCTAACATAAATATAGTGTGTAAATATACAATAAGTTAAAACCCCTTTTTTCTTACTCTATGTGGAACGGTGAAAACGTTTCACTCGCAACTGTACAGAAATCGTCATCCAGGTTTGACGGCTTTTGTAATTTTAAGCTAATTTCCTTGAGCTTCTGTTTGTTCTTCATCACATTCTGCCTGCAGACTGCTGAGTCAGCTCCCCAAACCGGTTCCCTCTCAGTATCTGGGATCTTTTTGCTGTGGTTTCTTACGTCATGTCACTCATCTGCTCTCTTTATACATGCTGCTCTCTGAGTTTTGTTCTCATTCACTTCAGATAAGAATCCTCAACATCAATCAACAGTGAGAAATGCGTTCAGGCTTTAAAGGTTCATTAGCGTGGAAACACGTGAGGCCTCGCGTCAAAACATCTCTAATCCCACCATTTAACCTAAACTCAGCAGTTAGATTTTTGCCACACATTCAATGTACGTTCTTAATTAAACACTAAGTTATATAGTCCATTACATAATTACCTTATGAACTCTACTTACATCTGATTTCCTTTCTGCATAAGTTTGATTCTGACGTTTTCTCTTTATTTTGATGTCCAAAAATTCAGCAACAGCAAAACATGAAAGGAATGTGTGAAAAACACATTCTCAAGAACACATTTAAGAACATTGGGCCTCATTCTCCAGTGTCTTCCTAAGTTTGTTCTTCATAAAGGTCCTAATAAAAAGTCTCTGTCAGATTCATGACGTGTTCTTAAAGCGCAGAACCGTTCTCACCTTTGTGCTCTTGAGTGTGTGTAGATTCTGTTCTTACCTCAGAACAAATCCCACATAGAGAACATTGGTGAGTCAGAGTCTTCGTCAGAGCTGCGTAAGTGGGTTTAAGAAGAAATTTCAGTAACACTTTCTATGAATGTCACCTTTGTAAGCATCTATAAACACATTCATAACATGTTATAATGCATTCATAAGGCATTATAAACATAGCTATAAATATTTATAAAAATGCATTATACGTTATAGCCATGCTTATTATGCATTATGAATTGTGAACATAATACATCATAAGTACTGATCATAACAGATTATAAGCGCTCATAAGTGGTATTTGTCCGCTCTAAGTAAAGTGAAGCGTACTGTACTAAAGCCTCCTCCAGTGTTCAGAGTGAGGCTTCAAGTTGAAGTATTTACTGAAGGATTTACTGAAACACTAAAACATTCACAGTAAAGCACATTACAGGCTTCAAATGTCTGAGCTTAAACTAGAGCTGCCATCAGTGTTTTACCCAATGTGGGAAAGGTAATGTACACCACCGTTAGCTTGGTATTTGTCTGTACTTTACGCTCTCCAAGCTGGGACTGACTTCTTTGGCACTGTTATAACATGTTATAATGTCAGTGTCAAAGAAGTCAGTCCCAGCTTGGAGAGCATAAAGCAAAGACAAATACCAGGCTAATGGTGGTGTATTCACATTGTGAATGTTTTAGTGTTTCGGTAAATCCTTCAGTAAATACTTCAACTTGAAGCCTCACTCTGAACACTGGAGGAGGCTTTAGTACAGTACGCTTCACTTTACTTAGAGCGGACAAATACCACTTATGAGCGCTTATAATCTGTTATGATCAGTACTTATGATGTATTATGTTCACAATTCATAATGCATAATAAGCATGGCTATAACGTATAATGCATTTTTATAAATATTTATAGCTATGTTTATAATGTCTTATGAATGCATTAAAACATGTTATGAATGTCTTTATAGATGCTTATAAAGGTGACATTCATAGAAAGTGTTACCAAAATTTCTTCTTAAGAACGTTTGGTGAACGAGGCCCAATGATCTTGAATGCAGCTATAAAAAAACCTAAGGTTCTCTTTATTCTCTTAAGAAAGTCTTCATTGTTTTGGCTGCAGATGACCAGATATCCATTAGTTCAGTTTAATCACATCAGCAGTGAGGACGGCAAACTGAACAACAAAATCAAACATCTAGCAAACAAGAACTACCCATGTACTAAAAAGGGTTCTATATAGCACCAAGAAAGGGTTTTTGACTCGAAACAATAGTAGAACCCTTTTTGGTGCTATATAGAACCATATTTAAATTGATTCATGAAAGAACCTTATACAAGCATTAATCAGTTCTTTAAGTGTTCCTGATTCTTTATAGAACCACTGGGTTTACTCAGTGGTAGCAGTGATGTGGAGAAAACAGCCAGCAGGAGAAATCGTCCTCGGTTTATTTTAACAGTTATATTCAGTGAAACTCATTACAGGTTCCAGTTTTAGAGGGTTTCTTACAGTGTAAGATGAGTCTGTCATACAGTTAAAAACAATTTTTATAAGAATACCACTGACTCTTATAACTGGTCTTAAGAAAATCATTAAGAAAGAAATGAACAAAGTTTTCTGAAGAATAATAATTTATCTCAACTTTTAAGTATGTGGTTGATTTTTTTTTAAAAGGCACCTTTAAGAATATTTTCAGCCATAATTTTACAGTGAAGATGATAGAATTGTTTGTGCTGATCATTTGTTTGTTTTGTTATAGAGTGAATTCTTCTCCTCGTCATGAGGGCACAGCTCATTTTCCTGCTCCTCTACTCAGGAGTGTTGGGCTTCGGTATGTTTATCAGTCACTCTTTCAGAAATACTTTGTGTACTGTTATATATTTTCATCTCAATATTAAACTGATTAAAGTACATTAGCATAGCTAAAACAGTAGCAGTCATGAATTTTGTCTGGTCTTTAGTTCATGTTTATAGATAGATATTCACACCGTGTCAGAAACTACATAATCAAGACTATTGGAGACACTGAACACCTCCACACTGTTAGAAACACATAAGTGATGATTTAGACCTGCAGTTAGCACCATGCTAATTGGTGGGATTTAAGCTCAGCTACATTGGTATTACAATACTCTTTCTTAGTAAGCTAGTAATTATGAAAACACACCACAAACTAATGCTGTAATGTGTCTAAAATGAATAATGTGGGCTTCATTACTAATTAACAGTTATGTAAAAGATTTATTAATTTATCCAGGAAGTAACATCTGATAAAACAAATTTATAGAAGAACTACAAATTTCAACTCCAAAAACTTTGGGACAGTGTGTTAAATGCTAATAAAAACAGAAAGCAGTGACTTATAAATGTTGTTTGACCTGCGTTTAAGCAAAACATGTTTGATGTTTTACCTAATCTTCTTGAAAAAGACGGCATCTAAAAGGCACCATATGTTGCTTAAAATGTGTGTAAATAGTGCTTTTACAGATGTGCAGGTTACCCACTATTCCCCCCCCCACACCATGACAGATGCTGGATTTAGAACTTTACCCGGTTAACAATCTGAATGATACTAATCTTCTTTGCCCTGGAGAACACAGCATCCATTATTTCCATAAACAATCTGAAAGGTTGACTTATCAGACTACAATATGTTTCCACTGAGCATCAGTCGATTTCAGACGATTTTAAGCCCAGAGAAATCGGCAGTGTTTCTGGAAATTGTTGATATGTGACTTCCACTGTGTACCTTACCTGTATTTGTGGATGCAGCGACAGATGGTGTTTACTGATCTTGGCTTGTTAGAGTACTTCCTGAGCTCATGTGGTGACATCATCACAGAAACATGCTGGTTTTTAAATGAAGTGTCATCTCAGACAATCAAAGTCAATTGTGGTTTTCAATTTGTTATTTGAACATTATTTGCTTCAGATAATTGTTATATCCATTAATAATTGCGCAGTTGCTGTGCTAATAACGAACCACACTGTAAAGTGGAGTTAGTAATTAATCCAATGAATGAAGCCTAATTATGAATGCATGCTAATTTTGAATGTCCTGATTGTGCTGTACTGTAGTAACTAAGACAAACTGATGGATTGATTGATTTGTTTTTCTCTTCTTTTGTCTGCTGTGTTTGTTGTAGGTGTTGTATGTTCAGCACAGCAGAAGTAAGTAAATCTGTAGATTAATCAGTGGCTTCAAAGAGTGACAGAACTCGTTCTGTGTGTGAAATCTAATGTAGTGAGAAATGAGGAAAATCCAGTCACACCCTCTGCTCATCCATCATCTCTAACACTCTCATCTGCTCTTCTTTCCTTTTCTCTCTGTTATTCTTCCTCTTTCTTTCTCTGATGATGTGAACTTTCCACAGTGGAGGCTGCGACAACTTTACACAACACAACTGCACTGCTGTGAGTCCATAAACACAAACATACATACATACATATATGTGCATTACACATGTTCATTTTATTACAGCTTCATTCTGATGTTCTTCAGCTCAGTTTTCTGGACAATTCTATATATTTTACAGTTTATCTGAAACTGGTTATAATTTTAAACAGTCATTTCAGACTTTTGAACGTTGATTCTAAACTGTGAATAAACTTTTTTGTTGTATTTATAATTTCAAATATGAACACTTTGACAATAATTGCAAAAATTTGACCATTGTTTCTACATGTTTAACCACTGATGAACATAAACATAAATTCTGAACTGTAATTCCAGACTTTTAATTACTGATTCTAAATTTTTGAACGGTAATTTTAAACTTTTAAACATTGATTTTAAATTTCTAAATAGTAATTCCAAACTTTTAAACATTGATTTTACATTTTTTGAACAATAATTCCAAACTTTTATACATTACAGTTGAAAAAATGTAGAATTAATTCCAAACTTTTAAATATTAATTCTAATTTTTTGGAACATTAATTCCAAACTTTTGAATGTTGATTCCAAACTTTCAATAAAACTTTCCAAGCAGGTCCAAAATGAAATCTTTACTGTCGGGTACTGCACTGCCCTGTGCTGCTTTCTTGGCTCAGATTTACTGTATTTTGCTGCTATGAGTTTTAGTGTTCTGTCTGAAGATTCATTTCTCTTTTATATTGTTTGTAATGTGTTTTTTGTTTAATTGTCTGTAACAGACACTCCTGACTGAATCACTGCATTAAACGTTTGTGTTTATCGTTTATGTGTGTGTGTGTGTGTGTGCGTGTGTGTGTGTGTGTGTGTGTGTGTGTGTAGAGTCCTGACCCCACAGCTGCCTTCCTGATGTGTGTGGGTGTCCCAGAAGGCCCTGGGGCAGGACAGCAGCACATTCTCAATCTGAAAGGCCTGATTGACGCTACGCTCGACATCTACTCCTTTCTGGTAAGAAAGAGAAAGCACTGTATTTAAAGTGTGCTGTTTCATGAAGAAAGGTGTTCTATGTACTTCAGACTTCTGAACAATTTCACATTTTCCAATAGAAATTCCAAACTTCTAACCAGAAATTCCAAACTATCAAATAGTAATTTTGAACAGTAATTCAAAACTTCTAAATGGTAGTTCCGAACTTTTGAACAGTGATTCCAAAATAGTCAATGGCAATTCCAAACATCTAAACAGTAATTCCAGACTTCTGAACAATGATTTCATCATTTTGAATGGTAATTCCAAAGTTCTGAACCGTGTCTCCAAACTGTCCATTGGTAGTTCCAAACTTGTGAACAGTGATTCCAAACTTTTGAGTAGTACAGAATATGGCACCTTAAACATGATCAATCGTTTTCTTCTGTGTCATTTTCTCTCCTGTTTCCACTCTTTAGTATCTCTGTTCATCTCTCACGTTTTTGTGTGAATCTTTTGAAGTATGTTCAGATTCAGGTGGCTTTATTGGTACAAACTGTAATGAAACACTACATTAAATGCTAATCGCAGTGATGATAATCTCACTGTGTTCTCTGTGTTCTCAGCGTTCCTCTCTGAGTGGCGTTCCTGTATTAAACATATCCGGGGAGTTCAGTGTAAATTGGGCGTCTCTGCTGCAGGACGATGACTTCATTCGGTTTTGGCTCCAGGTCAGACTGACCCCTCTGCTCTCGTCCATCTCTCAGAACTTCCTCACCTGCCTGAGCAACTCCAACTTCAGCTGCAGCACCTACAGCACCATGTATGAGCACACATACATATATACACATAGGAACACATATACAGATACACTACATGCAACACATACATTTATGGATACAGTACATACAACACACACACACATCATATATATATATATATATATATATATGTATATATATATATATATATATATACAGTACATACAAACATATACAGATAGAGTACAGTACATACAATAGATATATATACATATACAATTAAATCTTCTGTATCTTCTGTTTTGGTGGTTAAACAAATTTCTCATATCCAACATCAGTAGTTCAAAAGTTATGACAAAGTTAGCATCTTTTTCCAAAGTGCTCATTTAAGGTAAAAATTAAGGCCACGCCCACTTTTTAAAACCACTCTTTAAAGCCATATGTCAAAATAATGAAGACAGAAGTCTAGAATTTTGCACACTGTCTGTTGAGCACAGCAGAATTATTTTCAAATATGAAGCCAATCTGAGATGGTCAGTGAGGAGATGGTCAGTAAGGAGATCGTCAGCGATTTCACATGGACTCTTTGATCATTTGCTGCTTGTGGGGTCATTTGGCCGTTTGTTTTCCTGAAAAATGAAAGGCTGTGTGTGTTGTAGGGTGCAGGAGCTGAGTCAGCATTTCTCCGGTTTGGATCCCGAAAGGCAGAAATGGATCTATTCGTTCTTCATGTACCCGTTCCTCTCCAGAAACACATCCGCAGGTAAAACACTGCATTTTAACTTCACCGCTCGAGAGGAGAACCTGCTTTTTATGAATCAGTTGAAAGGCGACAGAGCAGATGTCGCAACGTTCGCCCTCAGGAGGGGTCAGCTGCTGTGTCAATTAGAGGTCTGCTGGGACTGTTTTTTCAGCCCGCTCCCGCCCGCCCCTGCGAGATTTCACCTGCTCCCGCCCACTCCCGCAGAAAATCGGAATCATTTGTCCCGCTCCCGCCCGCAACCGAAACGATTTGTCCCGCTCCCGCCCGCGCACATCCAATACCTTACACAGTCTAATCACAAACACATTATTCTCTGCTGAAATAACACGCAGTCGTGGTCATCAGGCTCACTGTGAGTAACTTCACCAAACGCCGTTTATTCTCAGTCAACACACGAGCAGGAATTAAACCACAGAGCGGTCATTTTTGGTATTTTGCTGGGCAGCTGTGGCCGTGGAACTGAAGGCTCCACCGTCTCTCTAATGCCTGAGTCACGCATGCTGTCTCTGCGTGGTGTGAGTGAAGCAGCGCGAGCTACAGCTCGGACACGCTGACCTTTCATGCATACAGCGTTTGAGCTGCGGAGCAGCGAGAAACTTATACAGACATTCTTGTGTTCAGACAGATAAATGGTCACTTCAGTCACTCTGATCAATAGAAATATAATTTATAAATGTATTCTGACTTCTGATTGGGAGAAAGTCTCAAGCATGTAAACAAACCGGGAAATCTGTCTGCGGCACGGAGTGTCTATTTCGTCATGAATTACATAAAAATCACCTTTAACGGTTTTATATGGCCCTCTGTTAATTTTCCATTCATCTCCGTGGCTTATTTTAGTGTATTTAGCTGTGTGACGTGTGCTGCACGCAGGAAAAATCTGCCCCGGGTCTGTTCTCTAAACACTGCGACGCTTCAGTGCGGCGTCTGGGACTCTGCCGCTTCGCACGCGCGGCCTGTGTGAAAGCACTGAACAGTTAACACAGGCGCCCAAATGAAAAGCAAGACTATCCGCGTCGCTCACGCCACGCAGATGCAGTATGTGTGAATCAGGCCTATGATCACGTGATCAGCTGCTCGAGAATGACTTTATTCATTTGAGCTGTTTTACTGTTACACTGTTTACATATGTGATTTAGTGATCGTTCTGCTTTATTTAGGCTGTTCGTTAATTTGCGGGATTTCTCTATATGCGTGCTTGCACCCGCTCCCACCTGAAGGGGTCTCATTTCCACCCGCTCCCGCCAGCAACACTGAAAATATCGCCCCGCGCCGCAAGATATTGTGTCAGGTCCGTGCGGTAGTGCAGACCTCTAGTGTCAATCACTGTAAAAGACTGATAAACTGATAAGACTGATAAGACTCAAACTTATAATTCAGTGTTTTTGACCCAGACAAGTATAAATAAATCATATAGATGGCAGTTTTATTTAAGACAACAAAGCAGAACTGCAGGTGTCAGCGCAATAAAACTGAAATTTGAATTCCAAATTGAGTTCCAGCACTGATCAGTTGCTCTAATGCCGTGTTTGAGTGGTAATGGAAACTGGGAAAGAACAATTTCTGTACTTGTAAATCTCATTTGAATGACCAAATAGGTCACAATTACAAGTATAACTGTTTTGGCGTATAAACATGCCTGAAACCAAAGAATAATCCTGGAATATTTCTTATATCCAACATCAATAGTTGAAAAGATTGCACCTTTAACCAACGCACTCATTTAAGGTAAAAACTGGGAAAGAACGATTTCTATTCTTGTAAATTGCTCTTGAATGACCAACGAAGTCACATTTACAAGTGGAAATCTTGGGATTCTAGATAACATGAGCTTGTAAGAGTCTAGATAACATGATGTGGCAAGTGCCCGTCCCCCGGGCTCCAATAAGGGTCACCAGAGCTGGCAGGAAGGCAGAGCCCAAACCCCAAACCCCAAGCACAGACGACAACCTGCGATGACAATAGAGGGAGGATGATAACTGCGAGGGCTGGAAGGACGGCGTCCGAGTCCTGAGCCCCACCTCCTGCACACTCAAAACTCGGATACCGTCCCCCCAGGCCTCGCAGTTACCATCCTCCCAGGTGACTCAGTGAAGACCTGCAGGTACACTTCACAGAAAGAGTCTCAGAAAAGCAGCACTCCTAAAAAGATGGTTCTTCAAGGGTTCTTTAGGAAAGAGAGCAGTTCTATATAGAACCATGAACACTCAACGAACCATTTTCATGATTAAATGGTTCTCTGCATGGTAAAATGGTTCTTCAGACTGATGGAGAATGTGTTGTATATGGTTCTGTATAGCATCAAAAGGGGTTCTGCTATTGTTACAAGCTTGAGGCCTCCAGGATCGAACATAAGGTCTATTAAAGTGGCCTCGCTGTGGGACCGGCGATGGTGCTCAGGAGGTGGTGCTCAGGGGGAGGGGCTCGGGAGGTGGTGCTCAGGGAGAAGGGGCTCGGGGGAGGGGCTCAGGAGGTGGTGCTCAAGTGGAGGGGCTCGGGAGGTGGTGCCCAGGAGGAGGGGCTTGGGAGGTGGTGCTCAGGAGGAGGGGCTCGGGAGGTGGTGCTCAAGGGGAGGGGCTCGGGAGGTGGTGCCCAGGAGGAGGGGCTTGGGAGGTGGTGCTCAGGAGGAGGGGCTCGGGAGGTGGTGCTCAAGGGGAGGGGCTCGGGGGAGGGGCTTGGGAGGTGGTGCTCAGGGGGAGGGGCTCAGGACTCAGACACCTTTAACTCTTATAGAGTTAGTATCTGTTGAAGTACAGTGTTCTGTGTATGTTGTGTGTTGTATGTCAGGTTGTGTCGATCCTGGTCTCAGCAGTGAGGACTGGCTGATAAAGAACTTCGGCTCATTCTCGGTTCTGGCCCGGATCAGGGACTTCACCTCCATCAACCTGCTCTTCAATGGGGTAACCTACACATATACCGATATTTACATTAATATTAATTTGATATAAACCACGACCCAGAGTTCTGCTCTGTGTTATCACAGCCTCAACTCGTCCTCGTCTGTCATCATTACGTTTATACTGCCTGTAACAGTTTACAACCTATTAGCTCATCTAAAATCATATAATAAGAGAAGCAGGACTGGAGGAAGGTGACTGAGGATTCCAGAAACATCCAGAACCTGTCAGAACAAAACCTTGTGTCTCCATTTTTTTGTCAGTGCTTTAACTTATTTTTCAACAGAACGTGAAAATGTGAGAAAGTTCGGCTGACTTTCATGAAGTGATAAAAATCTCAAATACAGCTTTTACACTCGACCAAACATAACAAACTCACAGACCTGGGAACGGAAAAAAGCTCTGGTGTCAAAAAGCCTGAAAACCAATTAAGTTAATTAAAATAACGCAGTATTCATGCTGCTGCACACCTAATCAAACTAACGAAGCACGTGATAAGGAGCTGATGAGTTGAATCAGGTGTGCTAGAACAGGAAGAACCTGAAAACTGTTCAGGTCAGTGGGTCCCAGGACTGGAGCTGAAAAAGGACAGTGCACCAAAATGTTAGCTTATCATGGCAAACCCTGTTACGCTTTGGACTCTAATGTTTGTTTTTATACAAACTGAAAGTTTATTCATTTTCATAAAAACTGAAATTTATAAAAGCAGATTCCACAGCCCAGATTCACACTTGCACAAACTTGTGGGACTTGCTTTTCGTCAAAGACATTAGCAATTAAACCCTGTTTTGTCCTTTGTGTGATGTTCTATTCAACTCATATGCCAAAGGTACAAAATTCAGTCCTCCAGACGGACGCTACTGCTTTTAGCCATGCTAAGATACTTCATCCATGTTTACAGGCAACAGTGAGTCATGCAGTGTCAGAAACCACATAATCTAGTCTATTAGAGATACTGAACAACACACTGCACGGTTTGAGGTGCTAATTTGTGGTGTATAAGCTTCTATTATTTATTAGCTACATTAGCCTCATAGCAAACTTCAGACAGGAAACGTCTTTGTTCATTGACTGGATTTGGGGTGAGTTGGACGAAAACTGGGGGAAACTATTGCTTTAATTTGTCCAATGTTCTCTACACAGATGGAGGTGCTGCACCTTTTGAGTCCAGAGCAGAAGGCTGAGCTTATACTCAACCCCGAGCTGGCCAATCTGCACAACGACTCCCTCGGTGTGGTGTTAGACAGCCTGCTGACCTCTGTGATGACCCCTAATGGGAGCGTGACCTCACCGCCCAATGGTAGCGTGTGGTTACCCCCCATATACCCCCCCTCCGTACAGGATCCAGTCACACAGGTCAGACTGCAGCGGTACTCGTTATCATGTTATGTTTTAAGTGAGTTGTTGTTATCATCACTGCCTTTATACACTAATTAGATTTCTTCCCATTCACGTACATGTAATTTCAAAGTCTTTACATTGCACCCAGAAACATGAAGGTTTTGATAGCCAAGACTAGCAACTAAAAGCACTCCTGAAGTCAAGGCCAGCGAACAAACGCACTCCTGAAGTCAAGGCCAGCGAACAAACGCACTCCTGAAGTCAAGGCTAGAAAATAAACGCACTCCTGAAGTCAAGGCTAGAAAATAAACGCACTCCTGAAGTCAAGGCTAGCGAATAAACGCACTCCTGAAGTCAAGGCCAGCGAACAAACGCACTCCTGAAGTCAAGGCTAGAAAATAAACGCACTCCTGTAGTCAAGGCTAGCGAATAAATGCACTCCTGTAGTCAAGGCTAGCGAACAAACGCACTCCTGAAGTCAAGGCTAGCGAATAAACGCTCTCCTGTAGTCAAGGCTAGCGAATGAACGCACTCCTGAAGTCAAGGCTAGCGAATAAACGCACTCCTGAAGTCAAGGCCAGCGAATGAACGCACTCCTGAAGTCAAGGCTAGCGAATAAACGCACTCCTGAAGTCAAGGCTAGAAAATAAACGCACTCCTGAAGTCAAGGCCAGCGAATGAACGCACTCCTGAAGTCAAGGCTAGCGAATAAACACACTCCTGAAGTCAAGGCCAGCGAATGAACGCACTCCTGAAGTCAAGGCTAGCGAATAAACGCACTCCTGAAGTCAAGGCTAGAAAATAAACGCACTCCTGAAGTCAAGGCTAGAAAATAAACGCACTCCTGTAGTCAAGGCTAGCGAATAAATGCACTCCTGTAGTCAAGGCTAGCGAATAAACGCACTCCTGTAGTCAAGGCTAGCTAATAAACGCACTCCTGAAGTCAAGGCTAGCGAATAAACACACTCCTGAAGTCAAGGCTAGAAAATAAACGCACTCCTGTAGTCAAGGCTAGCGAATAAACGTACTCCTGAAGTCAAGGCTAGAAAATAAACGCACTCCTGAAGTCAAGGCTAGAAAATAAACGCACTCCTGTAGTCAAGGCTAGCGAATAAACGCACTCCTGTAGTCAAGGCTAGCTAATAAACACACTCCTGAAGTCAAGGCTAGAAAATAAACGCACTCCTGTAGTCAAGGCTAGCGAATAAACGCACTCCTGAAGTCAAGGCTAGAAAATAAACGCACTCCTGAAGTCAAGGCCAGCGAATAAACGCACTCCTGAAGTCAAGGCTAGAAAATAAACGCACTCCTGAAGTCAAGGCTAGAAAATAAACGCACTCCTGAAGTCAAGGCTAGAAAATAAACGCACTCCTGAAGTCAAGGCCAGCGAATAAACGCACTCCTGAAGTCAAGGCTAGAAAATAAACGCACTCCTGAAGTCAAGGCTAGAAAATAAACGCACTCCTGAAGTCAAGGCTAGCTAATAAACGCACTTCTAAAGTCAAGGCTAGAAAATAAACGCACTCCTGAAGTCAAGGCCAGCGAATAAACACACTCCTGAAGTCAAGGCTAGAAAATAAACGCACTCCTGAAGTCAAGGCCAGCAAATAAACGCACTCCTGAAGTCAAGGCCAGCGAATAAACGCACTCCTGAAGTCAAGGCTAGCAAATAAACGCACTCCTGAAGTCAAGGCTAGAAAATAAACGCACTCCTGTAGTCAAGGCCAGCAAATAAACGCACTCCTGAAGTCAAGGCCAGCGAATAAACGCACTCCTGAAGTCAAGGCTAGAAAATAAATGCACTCCTGAAGTCAAGGCTAGCAGAAAAACGCACTCCTGAAGTCAAGGCTAGCGAACAAACGCACTCCTGAAGTCAAGGCTAGCGAATAACCGCACTCCTGAAGTCAAGGCTAGCAGATAAACGCACTCCTGAAGTCAAGGCTAGCGAACAAACGCACTCCTGAAGTCAAGGCTAGCGAATAAACGCACTCCTGAAGTCAAGGCTAGCGAACAAACGCACTCCTGAAGTCAAGGCTAGCGAACAAACGCACTCCTGAAGTCAAGGCTAGCGAATAACCGCACTCCTGAAGTCAAGGCTAGCAGATAAACGCACTCCTGAAGTCAAGGCTAGCGAATAAACGCACTCCTGAAGTCAAGGCTAGCGAATAAATGCACTCCTGAAGTCAAGGCTAGCTAATAAACGCACTCCTGAAGTCAAGGCTAGCTAATAAATGCACTCCTGAAGTCAAGGCTAGCGAATAAACGCACTCCTGAAGTCAAGGCTAGAAAATAAACGCACTCCTGAAGTCAAGGCTAGCTAATAAACACACTGCTAACATCAGCTTAGTTAGTGAGACCAAGCTCTTTTGAGACACTAGCCAAGGCTAAGATTAGCTTATTAGCAATCCCAGTCTATTATGGCCTCAGCATAGAAGAAGACAAACACACACAGCGCTTCAGATAAGTGCTCCTTTATTAACACAGCGTTTATATACATTTTCAGACGGATCTGATAAACACATTTACATACAGTTATTTTTGTATATGTGTAAAATTTCCACACACATTTTAAAATAAATGTGTTTTAAAATATACTTGGTTAATATGGCAAAATACTCTGAAATACATTTCAGTGTTTGGAATGTATTTCAGTGTGGACTGCAGAAGTATATGTCCATATATTTTTGTTCCATATAGGCAGTGAACAAATGCTGAAGGACACCAACCTAAAACTAATATGTAAACATTTCTCGAACACTCCACAGTGGCTTTGTTTGATCCAGGTAAAAAGGGTTTTGTGACTCTGTATCTGCAGGTTATGAACGACTTCATGACGGCGTTTAAACCGGTTGGAAGTTTCGTCAGAGAGTTCGTCTCCCTCACACACCAGGTAACCAAACACACCACGCACCCTCTGTTTTCACCACTCGCGACAAACGTCCGTTATAGAGCGTCTTTCTTCTGAATGCATGTTGATTTCTTGCCTGGTAAATGGTTCTGTTTACCCACACAAGAAACCAAAATGCATTCAAAAGTTCTTTGAGTGCTCACAGTTCTAAAATTAACCATTGCCTTCACTAAAGAACCCATTAAATTAACAGTTACTGCCCAGATAAACAGCTTATGAATATTACTTATGATATAGCAGAGTAAATATTATTATCAGGTGCTTCAAGGTTTTGCATAGTACTGTGTGTAGTACTAATTATTGCACTTTAAATCTGTTTACTTTTACGATGTAAAGCTTTTATTACTTTTATTACTTTATTCCAGCTGCATTTTGGATATATGTAAGGTCTTATACGCATAAAGTTTATTATTATTATTATTAATATTGTTAGTAGTAGTAGTTTAGTGCTAATATCATTGCTGTTGTCACAAAATCTTGTCTTTAAAAACAGAAACTTTATAACAGGAGGACAAAATAATCTTGTGTTTCTGAAAAGTTGTGCTGGTCAGTTGGCAGCAGAGAATGCAGCAGGTTTTCTGATCAGAACAGTGTGATTTATTTCACACTTCTCTTCTTTCCACTCCTCTTATCCGCTCTTCCTCTCCAGCCTGACCTGTCCAGCATGAGCAGAGCTACGTTTGTCCAGGCCATGCTGAACTGGACTCTAGCAGAACTAGCCGCTCCATATAAACAGAACGGCAGCAATGATGTGGTGGCGTTCGACCCGACGGACGTTAACGCCTGGTTCTCGCACGTCGTGGCTCCGGTACTGAGGAGGTTCCTCCCTGGAGAGATTCCGAGTGACATCACTGAAGTCTTCCACAGCTTATTGTGAGTGACCAAAACACGACAGACCGGACGGCAGCTGAACTGCCCACCACAGTTTTAGGTGTTAGCACATTTTTAATAAAGGTTAAACTAGGGATGGGTATCGTTTAAAACCTTTCAGTACTGATACCGATCCGATACCTTGAATGCGATAGTAATACCAAAACAATACTTACTGGTACTATGTTTGTAACTGTAACTACACGGCAAAAATGTATCTATTTTTAACACATTTTTACAAAATACTGGCAGAACTTTGACATCAGTGATAGGTTTGAGTTATAAGTACGTTTTTTTTTCTTTTCTTTCCTCTTTTTAAAAAATAATTCTAATAATCCTTTTATGATGGAATTGTAGTCCAAAGAATCAAAATGGGGACTGATTTTATTTAATTTGATTTTTTCACTAATCTGTCGTACTGAGATGTTTTGTTCGGTGAGCCCTAGATTAAAGTAGCATGCATTAAGGCAGTTTCCTCTCTTTCAGTGGAGACCACAAAAGCTACTGCCCCCTTGTGGAGAACGTTCAGACTGATAAACCCTGCTTTTTAGTGAGCTGCAGAAATCTTGACTACTTTTTAAATTTGGAGCTAATTATTGACACATTTATTTAGAATGTACCCTTTTGCTTTAACTGAGCCATTCAGCTTAAACAAGTAATCCTGACAGGCCTTATTGGAGTTGGCCTAATCTAATTACTCATTACTGTACGTCTGGATTATTCTGCAAAACCTAAACACCTATCCAGGTAGACACAGCCGAGTAAGCTCTCCCATTGGTTAGGACGTCAGGAGCTGGACTGAAGGCCTTAGATTAACTACCAACATAATAAGGAAGTGACCGAGGAACCAACCAATCACACTGTTATTTACAATGCAGGTGGAGTTAAAGTACATCACTCTAGTCCTTCTGGAAGTTCTAGTTGCATCACTGACTGTGAATGCGAGTCGTAGTCTAAGCAGTGTTCCGGTTGGTTGTTAGGAATGTAAAACAGTGGCTGCAGCTCTATGCAGGACTCTTTACTGAGAGAGTCACTGTAACACTGATACACACGAGCTCAGATATGTGATTATGACTGTTACGAACATCAGATAAAACACATGGAACGACTTCTAAAAGCTTCTAATGACAGTAGTTAACCTAGAACAGCCAAAATGCTGTTGGCTTACGTAACATTGCTAACATATTATTAGAAATCTCATAGGGGCACCAGCAGAAATGATCGTTATCACAGAAGTGTTTTGAAGAAATGTTTTGAAACCACTGAGTGACTAATAATACTATGACTATCAGAGTTTAAACTGTAAGGCATTAGAATACTCAGCGGCACAAAGTAATCACAGTACTGGAACGCTGCCGTTTTTAAAGGCTTCTGAGCTTAAGCATCATGAAGTCACTGAAAGGCTCAGAGTGGTCTATTATTATTCAATTAAGTCAATTTATTTATTGTTTTGGCCATTTTTTACAAAATCTCACAGAACCATTGTAGAATATGTATCTAAATAATCTCTATAATCAAACATTTGTATGTGTTTCTTTGTTTTTGTAGCTATATTGAGATGAGTGGGAACAGCAACGATCAGGATTTGTGCAAAATCACTCTCGAAGAGCCAGAATGCGCTGTGAGTCGTTTTCAAAAGAAACAAACATATAATATGAATAACGGATGTGTGAATAGAGAATACATTGTGCAGTGTAATTAGTCTGTTGATAACTGATAATCATGTGATATTATGTCATTTGTTTATGTAATCAATTACAGTTATGTGAAATATATAATTTTGAAATTAAAACTAAAGATTCTAGAAAAAATAAGTATAGAGATAATAAGATAAGTAATATGTAAGATTATTATTATGAATTATTGTAGCTCTACAGTTTATGTGTAGTAAGTTATGTAATATGTTGTATTCTGTAGTTACACTGTCGTAATACACTGTTATGTTGTTCCAGGTGAATAACATGATGCAGCACGTAGCGAAGATTCTGCACTGTGCAGCCAGCACTAACCTCACGCTCACCTCCGAAACACTGGACAGCCTTGCACTTCAACTGACCACCAGCCTCAACACGCTCCTGAACCAACTCGCCATGACTGTACGATTACTGTACCGCTAATTCTGCTGTTACAGTCATGACTCTTATACTGAAAATCTACTGTTAAAGCTATGACTTTTACTGTAACACTACTGAAGCTTTACTGTTACAGCCATGACTCTCACTACAATACTACTGTGACACTACTGTAACACTACTATTACAGCCATGACTCTCACTGTAACACTACTGAAAATATACTGTTACAGCCATGACTCTTACTGTAGCACTACTGAAAATCTACTGTTACGGCCATGACTCTCACTGTAACACTACTGAAAATATACTGTTACGGCCATGACTCTCACTGTAACACTACTGAAAATATACTGTTACGGCCATGACTCTCACTGTAACACTACTGAAAATATACTGTTACGGCCATGACTCTTACTGTAGCACTACTGAAAATCTACTGTTACGGCCATGACTCTCACTGTAACACTACTGAAAATATACTGTTACGGCCATGACTCTCACTGTAACACTACTGAAAATATACTGTTACAGCCATGACTCTTACTGTAACACTACTGAAAATCTACTGTTACAGCCATGACTCTTACTGGAACACTACTGAAAATCGACTGTTACAGTCATGACTCTTACTGGAACACTACTGAAACCCTACTGTTACAGCCATGACTCTCACTGTAACACTACTGAAAATCTACTGTTCCAGTCATGACTCTTACTGGAACACTACTGAACTCTACTGTTACAGTCATGACTCTTACTGGAACACTACTGAAACCCTACTGTTACAGCCATGACTCTCACTGTAACACTACTGAACTCTACTGTTCCAGTCATGACTCTTACTGGAACACTACTGAAAATCTACTGTTCCAGTCATGACTCTTACTGGAACACTACTGCTACATTACTGTTACAGTCATGACCAATTTTGCTACTAAACCAGTACTAAATCCACAGTGTTACACTGCTGAAACACTACTTATAATCCTGTTTGCTGTGGTTTGTACTACAGCGTATTTTAGCATATCATGCTGATGATTTTACATATGCTGTAATTCTGTGTTACTGGTTTCTGCTTTCTCCCAGAACTTCAGCGCTCCAGATTCACCCTTCATCCACATCCTGGACCGTCTCCATGACCTGTCCCCGTACAACCTGCAGGACGAGCAGTTTATCAGCATGTGGTTCCAGATCAAACTGAAGCCTCGTTTATCCACCCTGACGCCTGACTACCTGCTCTGCCTCAGCGCCAAGCCGTTCAGCTGCCAGACCTACCAGATACTGTACGTCAGCCTCTTATCTAGCACCCTCATTATACTGCTGACTGTACATCAAACTTTTATCTAGCACCCTCATTATACTGCTGACTGTATGTCAAACCTTTATCTAGCACCCTCATTATACTGCTGACTGAACATCAACCTCTTATCTAGCACCCTCATTATACTGTTGACTGTACATCAAACCTTTATCTAGCACCCTCATTATACAGCTGACTGTACATCAATCTCTTATCTAGCACCCTCATTATACTGCTGACTGTACATCAAACCTTTATGTAGCACCCTCATTATACAGCCTACTGTACATTAACCTCTTATCTAGCACCCTCATTATACTGCTGACTGAACATCAACCTCTTATCTAGCACCCTCATTATACTGCTGACTGTACATCAAACTCTTATCTAGCACCCTCATTATACTGCTGACTGTACATCAACCTCTTATCTAGCACCCTCATTATACTGCTGACTGTACATCAACCTCTTATCTAGCACCCTCATTATACAGCTGACAGTACATCAAACCTCTTATCTAGCACCCTCATTATACTGCTGACTGTACCTCAACTCTGTTATCTGGCACCTTCACTATAATGCGTATTCTTTGATATCTTATTTTTAACTACTTTCACTAAATTATTTACTCTATTTCAATCTGTTATCTAGCACCTTCACTGTACTGCTTACTGTGTCAATTCATTATCTAGCACCCACAATATACTCCCCAAAGTTATCTAGTATCTACACTATACTGCTCAATGTATGTCAATCCATTTATCTAGCACCCTCACTATAATACTTGTCTAGCACCCACACTGTATCACATCAGCGTGTCATTCAGCCCCACAGTACATGTCTTACCATTATCTAGAACCCACACTATACTGCTTAATTTACAACCACGATATTACCAGCCCCACACTATACTTTCCTTTGATATCTAGCACCCACAGCATACTGTTCACTGTATGTCAACCCATTATACAGCACCTCAGTATACTGCTGATCTAGCACCCACACTATACTACTTACTATACGTCAACCCACTATCCAGTCCCACACTATACTTCCCATTGATATCTAGCACTCACACTATACTGCTTTACTATACGTCAACCCACTATACAGCCCCACACTATCCACTTCCCACTGTTATCTAGCACTCACTCTATACTGTCCACTGTACGCCAGTCTGTTATATAGCACACATACACTATTGAGCACCAGTGTTATATTTCTCATTTTAATCTAGCACCAACCTGTTATCTAGAACAGACCAAACTGTGTAAACTGGTGATCCACTGGGGGTTTGAGTTGCTTTAGCTTGTATTGAGCTGTCCAGATTTACCATTTTACTGTTCTAAAAGTCTAGAACCTAGTTCTGGATCTGCAGAGTGAGCATTCTGTAGACCAGAGGGGTCAAACTCAACCACTGAAAGGGCAATGTTAAAAAATCACAACAAATCCGTGGGCACCAAAAAACAAATATAGGACTGTAGAACAGACCTTAAAGTTCTACATGGATACTTTAAAAACCTTAAATAGCTACATCAGCTACAGATAATCCTTAAACCTCTTTAATTGTGCCCAGTTAGGAGGTTTTTAAGCCACACACCTGCCATCTTTCCTTTTTGTGGTATAACCGCTGTCCTATGTATTGTTGTTGGGGGAGTGGCGTCAGAGCACACGTTATGTTGCAGTGCATGCTGGGAGTTGTAGTGCAGCTCATTGTGAAACGGGCTAATATTAAGAGAAAATTAAAACTTTTCGTGGGTCGGATTGGATGGTGCCACGAGCCTCTTTTGGCCCACAGGCCTTGTGTTTGACACATGGGCTGTAGACTGTTGGTGGGATTAAGGTGGAGTTTCCGGAGGTTTCTGCTGAACTCAGCTTCACCACAGTCACACTGTCAGTATAAACTAAAGAGTTTATTAATTTCCTAATAATTGATTCATGTTTTTTTCAGTGTGAGGGAGATGAGTAACAACATGTTCCTGATGTCGGAGAGTGGCCCTTTCCTGGTTTACTACGATTTCATCACACCGTTCCTGTCTGGACAGATCGAAACAGGTAACGCAGCTGCATTCGAACGTTTAGCAAATTTAACCCTTTAAAGTTACAGTTTCTGATAATAAAGTCATGCTGAGGCTTCGTATGAGTCATTTCTGACTCGTCGTTCTCCTCTGAAAGACTCTTCACTGGTGCATGAACTATTCTGATTAAACTTTCACGTAGGCTTATAACGTAAGTGGTGTAACTGTCTGAGCGTTGGCCAGGGTCAAGAGGTTGGGAGTTTGATGCCCCAGCCATCCGTAAGTGGGAGTCTAAGAGATCGTGACTGTCCTCTGTGTCATTAACACAGGTGTCTGTTAGCTGATGTAACAGAATTAGCAGGAATTGACTCGGAGGAAGCACGTGCTAGCTAACGAGTGGGAATTGACATTAATACTTGAATTTTTTTTTTTTGCTTAGTTGGTTTTATTTTTAGTTTTAGTTTTTTTTTATTTTATTACTTTATTCGAAATTCTTCATTGCTTTTTCTGATTTGCATTAGTTGCATTTTAGTGGCTTATAATGTATTTTTCTTAATTTTTTTTTTTTTACTCCATAATTTTAACTGACCATTTAATTCAAACAATCTTGCTTGTTTAAATTTTATTTTGCGCATGTTTATCACTACTTTTCGTTTTCAGTTCTTGTATATCCTGTGTTGTCGTGCTCAGCTAGATTTCAAATTGATTGAATGATTGAACTCAAGAAAGGAAAACGGGGGACAAAATCTCCAACCAAATTCATATGATTGCGAAATGGAACTCGTTAATCTTTGTGAGAAGACTGGTAACAATTAGTCACCGCCAAACGAAGAAAACGTGTAACTTACCTGTTAAAACATTTAGCTTTTACTATTAGACACTTAAGTATGTTTGAGTGTTCAAACCCCTAAATGGTCAGGGCTCAGCCAGTTTACACTGAAGTCCCTGTAGTTACTGCATAGTAAGGCTTAGTGTGTAATAAACCTGAGATTTTATGGTTTTAAGTGTAGATACTGATTTTCACTCAACTATATTTTTGGCTCCACACTTCACTAGCCTTCACCTTCTCAGCCTAGTAGGATGGTGCGATGGAGGGAGAGCTACTTGTATACAATGTGTCATAAATGACAGAAAAATAAAAAAGTATCTGTTAGATTTTAAATTTGAATTAAAAACTTTAAAAATGTCATTTAATTTTTACATTTTAATTTAAATCTATGTAAGGCGAAGCATAAAGATGTTGGCCTGTAGACTCAACAGGTTCTGTGTGTGTAGCTACACTGAAAGCTACCTGTGAAAATGGACAAATGCAAGAAAGAAAATTACAATTGAAACTACAGAAATCAAAAAATAAGATGCGTTAAGAATTAAGAACATATGTATATATATATATATATATATATATATATATGTGTGTGTGTGTGTGTGTGTGTATGTATCACTGCTGTCCGAACAAAACCTCATATCTCCAAAATAGCAAGGAAAAACCATACTTTACTTTTAATGTAAGTCAATGGAACCAGAATTTTCTCCAAGTCATTTTGGGCCGTTTCTTTTGGTTCATTCATCATTAAATTTACACACAATGTAAAGGGCATTTTCAAATTATGACATCAACTGAAAAAAGCCCACCACTCCCAAAGCCCACCGCTGCTTTGAAGGTCCAAATACAAAGGTAAAATGTAAAAAGTGTATGTTTTTCATATATAACTGTACTTGAAATGTAGCTGAGTACTAAGTACAGTGCTAAGTGAAGTGCTTCAGCCCAGTTAATGAGGTGTTGTCCAGTGCTGAGAGCTGCAGATGGTTTCAGTGAGGTTGTCCAGGCCCCTTTAGCTCAGCCTGTTGCGTGTGGAGTCAGACAGACATTCAGAGGAGAACATAAAGAGGCTTTAGGGTGTGGAGTGACCACACTGTGAGTGACCAGACTGGTTAGTCCACCGGGTGGAGAGCTGAACTGGGTTAGAGGACACTGCAGGAATGAAGACAGACCACTTCCTGTACTGTTATGACTGAATGGCGCTGTGTATGCGGGAAAGAGACAATGTAAAGCAGGTGTGTTAGAGTTCACACGGGGCAGAACACGTGAGCAAAACCAAACACAGCGCTGTGAAAAAGTCTTAGACCCCTAAACACCTCGTTTAAAACCAATTACCTCAGCAGTTGGCCTGCTTTTACCAGTGAGATCATTATCAATTATATATAATTAGAATAAGTACCATCAGAAAAAACGTGAGAAATCATACAGTAAAAGTGCTGTATAACATAATATAAACACAAATAAACTTAAATACAGTAAAAGTGCTGTATAACATAATATAAACACAAATAAACTTAAATACAGTAAAAGTGCTGTATAACATAATATAAACACAAATAAACATAAATACAGTAAAAGTGCTGTATAACATAATATAAACACAAATAAACTGAAATACAGTAAAAGTGCTGTATAAAATAATATAAACACAAATAAACTTAAATACAGTAAAAGTGCTGTATAACATAATATAAACACAAATAAACATAAATACAGTAAAAGTGCTGTATAACATAATATAAACACAAATAAACATAAATACAGTAAAAGTGCTGTATAACATTATATAAACACAAATAAACTGAAATACAGTAAAAGTGCTGTATAACATAATATAAACACAAATAAACTGAAATACAGTAAAAGTGCTGTATAAAATAATATAAACACAAATAAACATAAATACAGTAAAAGTGCTGTATAACATAATATAAACACAAATAAACATAAATACAGTAAAAGTGCTGTATAACATAATATAAACACAAATAAACTTAAATACAGTAAAAGTGCTGTATAACATAATATAAACACAAATAAATACAGTAAAAGTGCTGTATAACATAATATAAACACAAATAAACATAAATACAGTAAAACTGCTGTATAACATAATATAAACACAAATAAACATAAATACAGTAAAAGTGCTGTATAACATAATATAAACACAAATAAACAAATACAGTAAAAGTGCTGTATAACATTAGAATAAACACAAATAAACATAAATACAGTAAAAGTGCTGTATAACATAATATAAACACAAATAAACTTAAATACAGTAAAAGTGCTGTATAACATAATATAAACACAAATAAATACAGTAAAAGTGCTGTATAACATAATATAAACACAAATAAACATAAATACAGTAAAAGTGCTGTATAACATAATATAAACACAAATAAACAAATACAGTAAAAGTGCTGTATAACATTAGAATAAACACAAATAAACATAAATACAGTAAAACTGCTGTATAATATTACATAAACACAAATAAACATAAATACAGTAAAAGTGCTGTATAACATTATATAAACACAAATAAACAAATCCTGTAAAAACGCTGTGTAACACTAAAGGAAAGGATGCATGTACATGCGACTGTACTCTGACTGACTGAATAGAATAGCGAGGTAGTTTGTTATGATTTTGAGTGAATCAGCTTTATTGATAACGGTCAATAAAATCACACAGTGTCTGTCTGGCTTTAGAGGACATTCAGCTACAGCTCAACCAGCAGTAAATGAACTGTAATTAAATGTGCAGCAGTGTGTCTCTGTGGAGGATGTGTAAACTTATTCACACTCAGAAAATCAACACAAACATGGAATTTGACCAGGGGTGCCCAAACTTCTGCATAAAAATGAATATATTTCACATAAAATAAGCAGAATTTTTATGTATTTAAGTATTTAGTTTTATTTAATAGTAACATTCAAAAAGAAATGATTATTGTGAAGTTAAAATCCTGATGAGAGGAATCATTACTCTGACAAAAACGTTGAAGATTTTGAGAAAAAGTCATTATTTTAAGATAAAAAGTCAAACTTTGGACACGTTAAGTTTAAATTCAGACGTCCTGCCGTCAGAGACAGACAGTGGGGGAGGGGACGGGGTGTTTGTCCTTTCTGATGTAAATGAGGATCTATAAAAAGATCAACTACCACAGAGAGTGGATGGACTGGTTAATGAAGTAGAACCTGTCAGTGTCTCTGACTCAGTGTCGCCCCCTGCAGGCGCCTGCATGACAAACAGCAGCTCTGAGTGGATCCGGATGAACCTGGCTGGATTCTCCGCCTGGGCCCCTCTGAGAGACCTGTACCTGCTCAGCAGAGACTTTAACGCTGTGAGTGAATCAGCTCTGTTTTATTTATTGATTATTTTTTTATTTTTATGATGACAGACATATAGTACATGAGGCAAACGAATAACGTAAAAAGCAGAACAAGCCAAACATGAAAAATAACGTCAAACAGGCAGTATAACGAACAAATAAAGAAGTATTATATTTATACACACACACACACACACACACACACACACACACACACACACATTCAGCACCTTTGTACCAAAACTACAGTACTCTACTGTAGTAATGTGTGTCAGTAATAACTGGGTAATGCTGCTTTGCTGTACAGCTCCAGCTCTATTTTAATAAGGACGGATGACGTACTGTCTTTTTCACTGCAGCCAACCATTAAAAACAATTACAAACAATTAAGAATAAAATGAACCTTGAAGCTGTTCAACCTATTGACTGTTTCTTCAGTGAGAAATGGATCTAAATACTGACAGAAGAACAGAAAACAGACAAGAGAAGAAATGATGAATTGCTGTTTATGTTAAAAGCATTTCTCAGTGGAAATCCTCACTGAATCAAAACATTAAAGGAAAAGTTCATTAATATTCATTAATGTCATTCAAAAAGAGGCATGGAGGAAAAAAAACAGCTTTTATTTACCTTTAAGTCCATTTTATATAATTTCATTTACCATTTAGTGTCTGTTTTCTTAGTTGTTTGTTGGTTTCTATGGTATTCCAGGTGGTTACTATGGTGTTGCTAGGGGGTTTCTATGGTATTACAGGTGATTACTATGGTGTTGCTAGATGGTTTCTATGGTATTCCAGATGGTTGCTATGGTGTTGCTAGGTGGTTTCTATGGTATTCCAGGTGGTTGCTATGGTGTTGCTAGGTGGTTGCTATGGTATTCCAGGTGGTTACTATGGTGTTGCTAGGTGGTTTCTATGGTATTCTAGGTGGTTGCTATGGTGTTGCTAGATGGTTTCTATGGTATTCCAGGTGATTACTATGGTGTTGCTAGATGGTTTCTATGGTATTCCAGGTGGTTACTATGGTGTTGCTAGATGGTTTCTATGGTATTCCAGGTGGTTACTATGGTGTTGCTAGGTGGTTGCTATGGTATTCCAGGTGGTTACTATGGTGTTGCTAGGTGGTTTCTATGGTATTCCAGGTGGTTACTATGGTGTTGCTAGATGGTTTCTATGGTATTCCAGGTGGTTACTATGGTGTTGCTAGGTGGTTTCTATGATATTCCAGATGGTTACTATGGTGTTGTTTGATGGTTTCTATGGTATTCCAGGTGGTTACTATGGTGTTGCTAGATTGTTTCTATGGTATTCCAGGTGGTTGCAATGGTGTTGCTAGATGGTTTCTATAGTATTCTAGGTGGTTGCTATGGTGTTGCTTGATAGTTTCTATGGTATTCTAGGTGGTTGCAATGGTGTTGCTAGATGGTTTCTGTGGTATTCCAGGTGGTCATTATGGTGTTGCTAGATGGTTTCTGTGGTATTCCAGGTGGTTATTCCGAACCCTTTTTCCAAGCGCTTCATGAAATTATCACCTAATGTAAAGAGCCTCTGCTCTGCTCAAGTCTTTAATAAACCAAAAAGTAAAACTTTGGGGTTTTTTGAACAGTTAAACTCTGTGTACTGTCAGTGTCGCTGACCTGATCGTCAGTTATCTGAAAGTGAATTGAATTTCTTGCTGCTGTTGTGTTACTGATAAAGGTTGAAAATGCTTGTTCACTCTGTGTTTCCTGGTCTGGTTTGATGCAGCTGGAGGCTTTAGACGTCCTCACCCCGAGACAGACAGCCGAGCTGATCGTGGAGAACCTCCCTCACCTTCCAGAGAAGAAGCAGGTCATCGACATCGTCTTCGACTTCTTACTGGGGGCACCAGTGCAGAGGAACCTGCCTGAAGTGCTCTTTAACCTCACTGGCCTCCTCGAACTGGTAAACATCTCCACTTTAGAGCTCAGCAGACACATCAATATTCTAATTACAGCAGGGTCATTAGGGTGGGGCTGTGGGTCAGATCTGATGGCAGTGTGTATCTGCAGGACGAGAGCTGTGAGGGTCAGTAAACTGTGGACTGTTATTATGATACTGTAAATGAGTAATGTGTGTTAATTCCTAATGAAATGGATGGAATGAAGTTTAAACTAAAAGCACAAATAAAATAAAAATAGAAATTACACTGTTTCCTTTCAGTCATCAGAGGGAAATTCCTCATCTTATCCTTGTAGAACATTCAATTATTTGAGATAATACTCTATAGAATATAGTTGTAGCCCTAATATCTTATCCTATCTATATTAAGAACTATATGTGAATGTCTGGGCAGTAATTTACTGAGAATCTTCTGTTGTGTTTGTTTATTCCAGGAGCGACTGGAGTGCTCATACATCCAGCAAATGTAAGTCTCACAGTTAAAGCCTACAGCAGTTTAGCTCCACCATTCAGCTACAGCAGTTTAGCTCCACCATTCAGCTACAGCAGTTCAGCTCCACCATTCAGCTACAGCAGTTTAGCTCCACCATTCAGTCTACAGCAGTTTAGCTCCACCCATTCAGCCTAGAACAGTTTAGCTCCACCCATTCAGCTACAGCAGTTTAGCTCCACCATTCAGCTACAGCAGTTTAGCTCCACCATTCAGCTACAGCTGTTTAGCTTCACCATTCAGCTACAGCAGTTTAGCTCCACCATTCAGCTACAGCAGTTTAGCTCCACCATTCAGCTACAGCAGTTTAGCTCCACCATTCAGCTACAGCAGTTTAGCTCCACCATTCAGTCTACAGCAGTTTAGCTCCACCATTCAGTCTACAGCAGTTTAGCTCCACCATTCAGTCTACAGCAGTTTAGCTCCACCATTCAGCTACAGCAGTTTAGCTCCACCATTCAGTCTACAGCAGTTTAGCTCCACCATTCAGCTACAGCAGTTTAGCTCCACCATTCAGCTACAGCAGTTTAGCTCCACCATTCAGTCTACAGCAGTTTAGCTCCACCATTCAGTCTACAGCAGTTTAGCTCCACCATTCAGCTACAGCAGATTTTTAATAAAAATTGATAAAACTCCTCTGTTATGTTGTGTTCAGAGCGCAGAGGTTGTACGCTGCTGTGGTTCCTATGGAGATGAAGCAGATCATACAGGACACCATCGACAGTCTGGGCCTAATCGCACCTGCAGGTACGCACCTCTCCACTATCATCATTATTATTATTATTATTATTGTTGTTGTTGTTGTTGTTATTGATAGTAATAATAATTATTATAATTATAATAATAAATACATTTTCAATAATCAGTTGAATTAACACACACGACTGATTAGATCATATACACACATTGATTCACTAAACCACTGTGATGTAAACCGCTGTGATTGGTCAGCACACTATAAACAAACACTGTGATTGGATCAATATCATGATCACGATTGATAAATGTTGTATGGTTCAGCGTTATATGAACGTCCTGAATAAAGATCTTTGGGTAATGTGTTTGATTTTCTACTCTTTGCAGATTGTTTGCTGCTGCCGCCTGCAACAGTAAGCAGTTTATTCATAATTATAATCTAAATGTATGGACTTCATGTTACTGCTGATTGACTTTTCTACTGTGATTAATACATACATACACTTACACTCACCAGTCATATATAAATATAAATACGTATATATGGTCAAATTCCATGTTGTTGATGTTCTGATGTTCTAAATAAGTGAACACGTCCTCTACAGAGACACACTTCTGCACATTTAACACACGTTTCCTGTTTATTTACTAAATTTAACATATTGGGGGACAAATTAAACAAAGATTGTGGCCTGTAAAACGTTATGGCACATTTTATATTCTATGTTTTATTTTTTTAATTTGTTAAACTCAGCAAGTAAATAAAAAATGCCCTGGAAATTAGCAGAGAAACGCCACATTTAAGTCTGTTTCCTGTAGAGGATCGTCAGCAGGAAATGACACGAATTAAGGCAAATAAAGTGAACTGAGATTTTGTGTTAAACATAGTTGTGCTAAATTCGTACCGACATGTAATTATAGATTCATCAGCAGTAGCTTTTGACTTCATCTGCTGAATTTAACATACTGGTTGCTGTTCTGTGTTTTATAATAAACAATTTTGCAGGTTTATTATTTAGATATATTATTTATGTAATTTTTATAAATTATATTAAATGATGTTATTTCTGTTACTCTATAAGATACCATAAGATTCTGTTCATAGTCAATTAAATACATTGTGCTATTGGCCACAGGTTTGTATGTTAGCAGCTGTATCGTTTACCCATCTGCACTGACATTTTGGACACATCTTCATTTTTCATAGCTCACTACTAAACATTCCAGACTTGTTGAGTATTAGCACTGTGTAATAATAATTTTCTTCATGCATTTTAGTTTAATATTAATAGGTATGATTCTTTAAAGCCGTAGTAAAACTAAACATATTTTTTTTAATCCACAGTGTCTGTCTATCCAAGTCAATGGTAAGAGTCTGTAGCAGAAAGTCTGATTCACTGTCTGCAGTGTGTTGTAATTTATTGTGTGATATTTATTTTTGATTTATTCCGGTTTTGTATCATTAAAAGTCTTGATCTTGTCGTCTTTTGGTGTTTTTCAGAATCTGTTATCTGTGCTGGAGTTAACAGGTACCGTCACTGTACATCAGCCTGTCTGTGTAGATAGTAATAATGATGTAAAGACGGTGTTTAAAATGTGCTTTATGTCCTCAGTACTGGACTGTTGGCTCAGATGAACATCAGCTGTGTGACCAGTGTGGCGGAGCTCGCCTGCTCACAGGTGACAGACAGAATAATAAACATCACATTTTCCACCTTGTTTATTAAGATTAACACACAAACTCTTCAAATAAACTGATAAAGAGACATCAGGTTAACTCTATACTGCGTGGACTGATACAAAAACACATCAAAATAGATTTTTAATGATTTTCCTCTTTGAAAATTGTAGAATTCATAGATCTTTAGGGGAAACTTTGCATCTTGTTGCCATACGGCTGCAGTGCACACAATGGGAACACATCAGGAACGCATACTGGGGGGATTATTATCGGGGGGGGGGTTATTTTAATCTTCTTTGCTGAATTAAGCCCAAATTACACAAATTAGCCAAATTAACCATAATAATTACATTTTTGTTTGTAAAAAATACACAATAAACACTTTGTTAAGCCCTTGTTATGATAAATACATCCAATTTTACATCCTATTAGTGTGTAATCGGCAACATCTGGTTCCTGTGCATTCTAGATAGTGTCGAGTAACAACTTCAGAGCTTATAGACTTCAAAAATGAGAGGTTTTTGCTTCCCATATTTTAAAGTAACAACCATTTAATGGCTGTTTGGAAACAGATAAACATACAAGCTGTGAATATTCCAGTTTCTCACTGATTTTAAGTTGATTTTAATGCTATTTTTGCAACAGATGTTGAATTTGTGGTGCAAACTGTCTTGATAATGTGTTTATCCTGGGAACAGTGATGATCAAAACTGAACTTTAGAATATGGAACATAGCAGCGTTAAACTCTTCATTAAGAGCTGTAAAGTGATCAGTTCCATAGGTCTAGAGCTGGTGTTGCTACCCAAATGTTAAGAAGAGCCATTTTGTCCTTTCAACAAAAATCAAACCACCTTGGGAGGCACAACATTTCATGTTCATTTTACCGTCTTGGCTGTAAACGTGTCTCAGTATGTGTTAATGGACTAGTATAGACTAAAAATATAAACGAAAACACAGACTCACTTTGCTCTGCTTTAAGCTTTAGCTCTGCTACAGCCGCTTTTCTCACATCTCCAGCAGGAAAACTTTTCCTGAAAAGTGAAATAATGTCTGGTAAAATGAAGCTGAAGTCGCTTCTCATTCACCAGCTTCTTGTTCAAATTTTCCAGTTCCACCTTAAATGTAACGGCTCCACCATTTAAGGTGGAATGAGACAATTTCACTTTAAGTCCATTCGTCTCCAAATCATCGATGTTCATCTTGAATCTCTCTCTTTGCCGTTTCGTTAGCTACTAGCTAGGCGAGACTGTTGTCTGTGTTGCTATGGTAACCAGCAGTCTGCGCTGATCTTCAGGGTTAAAGGGTGAATCAGCAGTTCTACATTAACTCCAGAGTTTAAGACCATTTATTGTTGAACTGTGTTGAACAATCAGCAGAGCTTTATTTTACTGTAAAGGAGGATTATTTTATTTTTACCTACTAATCTGATTCTGCTGTGGAGCCACAACAGGGCAGTAAAAGAGCCGCATGTGGCTCCGGAGAGACTATCTAGACCTTATAGGAATCAAATTCTGACAATTATAAACACATTCTACACCGTTTATAGTGCATTATTACAACTTTTCCATTTTGGAGTTTTTACTCCAACTGCGACAAATTAATAATGATTGATGGTAACACTTTATTTGGATAGTTCACTTTAGATGATTTGTAGATACTTAATGTACTTTTAAGTTACATTTAGCTAAATCTCAACTAAATTGACTATAATGTTCTTTATATTTTAACCTGCTCTAATCCTGACCCTGACCTTAACCTCAACCCACAACCTAAACCCAACACTCATCCTGGTCCTAGCTCTAACCCTGGTCCAAATCCTACAGATAGTTTGGTAATAATTTGAACATCTGTAGATGATCTATATGGGACTATAGTGGACAATCCAAATAAAATGAGATCTTATTTTCACATAACAGATGTTCATTTTTTTTTTTTGCTTTTTGCAAGGTTAATAAAAGTGTTTAATTTGGGCTTAAATGAACAAATAAACAACACAAAAATAAAGCGTTACTATTACACTGATAAAAACATGGAATGTAGAAAAGTTGAGGGTATTAATTTACTCCACTGTATGGATTGCAGATTGCACTTCCATTGCCAACAACTGTGTTTTGTTTTTCTATAAAACCCTTGGCAAGTAGTTTCATTTATGAAAAGGACACTGTAACTTGTGTCAGATCAGGTTTCTCATGTGATTTAAGTAATAAAATGATGAAATGTGACTTTTATATTGTGCTCAGACGTAAAAGGAAGTCATTGTTGCCTTATTGCAACACCTTGTTGTAAAGGCTTTAATACATTCTAAATGTTCTCCATTTGTGATCTGCAGTATTTAACACTCATTTCTTTTCATCCTGGAGATGTTTTTCTCCATGAGAACTGTCTGTCGAAAGGCCCTGATTTGGACATTTTCTCCTGCAGGTGACTGGACTGACCGCCGACGGCCTGGCGAAGCTGCTGAACTGTTCACTGTCCAACAATGTCACATACTCTAAAGAGATATGGAAACTGCTCTTCACTAAAGCTGATGGAGTCCTGACCCAAGCCCTCAACATCTTCTCCAGCAACATGGTACAAAAACAGCTTCATAACTGCTCATACAGAAACGTGCATTACAATCACTACTGTGCTTTACGGTAACTGCTAGTCTGTTCACTTTCACTTTCACTTTCAGTTCTACATACACAAAAATGTACATAATTATAATGAAAAAATGACTTAGGACAGCAGGACTTTAATAAAATACAAGAAATGAAGACGGTATTGAAAAAATAACTGACTCTAAATGTAGGTATTGTGATATAAACTGAGTCTGTTCTACAGTTTCTCATTAGACTGAATGAATAACCGACTCTAAATGTAGGTATTGTGATATAAACTGAGTCTGTTCTACAGTTTCTCATTAGGCTGAATGAATAACTGACTCTAAATGTAGGTATTGTGATACAAACTGAGTCTGTTCTACAGTTTCTCATTAGGCTGAATGAATAACCGACTCTAAATGTAGGTATTGTGATATAAACTGAGTCTGTTCTACAGTTTCTCATTAGGCTGAATGAATAACTGGCTCTAAATGTAGGTATTGTGATATAAACCGAGTCTGTTCTACAGTTTCTCATTAGGCTGAATGAATAACCGACTCTAAATGTAGGTATTGTGATATAAACTGAGTCTGTACTACAGTTTCTCATTAATATATTAATGAATAACTGACTCTAAATGTAGGTATTGTGATATAAACTGAGTCTGTTCTACAGTTTCTCATTAATATATTAATGAATAACTGACTCTAAATGTAGGTGTAGGTGATATATTTTGATATATCCATTGAATAAAGTGGTTCTTCTGTGGTTTTGCTCCATTTAACCTTTTTTGGCATCTTTATTTCTTTTTTTCAGGTTTTCCCGATCAGAGGCGTGTCTGCGTCCAACATTCTGGATGCGATTGTGGATGTTCGACTGGGGCAGTTCACTCCTAACAGTTATTACAGCGTTGATTTTATTAAATACCTGTTCAGCCATGAACTGAGGCCGTTCCTGCCGTCCGCTTCTAGAGATCTGCTCTACTGCATCAGCAGCAAGAACTTCAGCTGCCAAGCATACCAGCTGATGTAAGACTCATCACTATTATTGAGATCAGACCCTGATTACACCCTGATATTACACATCCAGCAAAGGTTGAATTAAACAAACACAATATAATCATGATAAAACACATCTTAGTCCTTTTTATTTTCCAGCGTGATGGAGTTCGGTGATCCGATCCTCTTCCTAGACGAGGCAGAGAAGCTGAGAGTGCTGAAAGATTTCATCCTGCCTTTCCTGACCAAGAACAGCACAGGTATTCATCAGGGATGTCCTGATACAGTTCCCCAAGATCCAGATCCAACAGAGTACTTTAATGTTGAGTATCGGCCGATACTGATCCAATCCAAGTACTTTGATGTTGAGTATCGGCCGATACCGATCCAATCAGAGCACTTTAATGTTGAGTATCGGCCGATACTGATCCAATCTGAGTACTTTAATATTGAGTATCGGCCGATACCGATCCAATCTGAGTACTTTAATATTGAGTATCGGCCGATACTGATCCGATCTGAGTACTTTAATATTGAGTATCGGCTAATACCGATCCGATCTGAGTACTTAAATATTGAGTATCGGCCGATACTGATCCGATCCGAGTACTTTAATGGTGAGTATTGGCTGATACCGATCCGATCTGAGTACTTTAATGGTATCGGCTGATACCGATCCGATCTGAGTACTTTAATGTTGAGTATCGGCTGTTACCAATCCGATCTGAGTACTTTAATGGTGAGTATCGGCCGATACCGATCTGATTAGAGCACTTTAATGTTGAGTATCGGCCGATACCAATTCGATCTGATTACTTTAACATTGAGTATCGGCTGATACCAATCCCAACTAAATATTTTAATGTTGAGAATTGGACGATACTTATCCAATCTGAGTACTTTAATGTTGACTATTGGCTGATACTGATCTGATACTGATCCGATCTGAGTACTTTAATGTTGAATATCAGTCAGTGCTGATCCAGTTTGAGTACTTTTATGTTGCGTATCGGCCAATACCTATCCGAACTGAGTACTTTAATGTTGAATATTGTCCGATTCCGATCTGAGTACTGTAATGTTGAGTATCGGCTGATACCAATCCGATCTGAGTACTTTAATGATGAGTATCGGCTGATACCAATCCGATCTGAGTACTGTAATGTTGAGTATCGGCCGATTCCGATCCGAGTACTGTAATGTTGAGTATCGTCCGATTCCGATCTGAGTACTGTAATGTTGAGTATCGGCCGATTCCGATCCGAGTACTGTAATGTTGAGTATCGTCCGATTCCGATCTGAGTACTGTAATGTTGAGTATCGGCCAATACCGATGTGATCTGAATATTTTGTCATTGTGTTCCAGATCCAGCCTGTGTTTCCAGCACTAACAGCAGTGTTGAGTGGCTGCTGAGGAACTTTGGGCCGTTTGCTGAGTTAATGAACCTCAGACAGCTGATCTCACTGAACCCCCACTTTAATCCGGTATGAATTAGTGCAGAAGGTGGAGATGATCTCCTACCTGTGAAGTGAGTGAACTGAAGTCTCTCTCTCTGTGCAGCTGCTGGCTCTGCCGTATCTGACTCCGCTCCAAACAGCAGAGCTGATAGTGGAGGATCTTCCTACTCTTCCAGATAAAGAGTCCACCATCAACAGCGTCTTTGACTTCCTGCTTCAGTCATCATGGCAACACAGACTTCCTGAAGTTCTACAGGACATCCTCATGATGGTAATGAAGACAGGACTCAGCAGTTTAGCCCCACCCATTCAGCCTACAGCAGTTTAGCCCCACCCATTCACTCTACAGCAGTTTAGCCCCGCCCATTCAGCCTACAGCAGTTTAGCTCCACCATTCACTCTACAGCAGTTTAGCCCCGTCCATTCAGCCTACAGCAGTTTAGCCCCACCCATTCACTCTACAGCAGTTTAGCCCCGCCCATTCAGCCTACAGCAGCTTAGCCCTGCCCATTCACTCTACAGCAGTTTAGCCCCGCCCATTCAGCCTACAGCAGTTTAGCCCCACCCATTCACTCTACAGCAGTTTAGCCCCGCCCATTCAGCCTATAGCAGTTTAGCCCCACCCATTTAGTCTACAGCAGTTTAGCCCCACCCATTCAGTCTACAGCAGTTTAGCCCCACCCATTCAGTCTACAGCAGTTCCACATTCATTGTGAATTTATCAGGAGTGTTTCAGCCTGGACTGCTTTTTGAATGAGGCAGCCAATCAGCACAGAGCTCATTTACATATATCAGTCTCAACGGCACAGTTACAAGAACAGCCTGTTGTTTTTACATTGTAATTTAATTGCTAGAAAATGATCATGAAGGAATGATTTATGACTGTTTTTGGTACATAAACCCACAGAAACGTCATAAGTGAACCTAAAAAATGTAGAATATGAAAACGATCTTTCAGAGATCTTTTCATTGATGGCTGCTGTGTCAGTTTGTCAAGGTTTAAAGCGCTTAATAAGCAGTTTTAATAAGCTGATGTGTTTGATGCTTCATTTGTACAGCGCGTGATGCCCTGCAGCTCCTACACTGTGATGTAAGTTAATCTGTGAAGCTGTTTGGCTTTTCTTTTACTTTCTGTCCTCTCTTGGTTTTGTCTTTCAGCAGAGTCTCTGTTTTCATCTGTGTTTTTCGGTTTCAGCTCCCGGAGGCTGTTCTGGGCTTTAGCGCTCGTTTCTCAGGATTCAGAGCCCGAGATTTTCCGTTTAGTGACGCTGCTGGAGCAACTCGCCCCTCAACGTACGTCTGCATACCACCAGTTTAGCCTTTTGAGCTACTCAAATATTCATATCTTTAAAATAAACAGCATTCCGACGTCCCAGCGGGTGGTTCAGAACGTGTTAGTGTAAGTGGTGTAGATATGTTTATTTTAATAACTGTATGAAGTTTTAATATATGAAACGTTTTCCTCTTTGCAGATTGTCCGATGACTCCACTTCCTACTGTAAGCTTCTGCATTTAATCGGTTCTGATTGTTTCTGCTTACTGTTCTCTGTTTACTAGGGTTTTCTAGTAAAGGCAGTGGTTCTATTTAGAACCATTTTCATGCTTGAATGTTTCTTTGCATAGTAAATTTTTTCTTCAGATTGATGGAGAATGTGCTGTATATGGTTCTGTAGCACCAAAAATTGTTCTGCTATTGTTACAATGTCAAGATTGTGACAGTACTAGAACTCTATTGGTCATATTTAGAACCATTTTTAAATGTTTTTTGCTAAAGAACTCTTGAGGAACTGCCTTTTGTAAGTGTGTAGTCCTAATGGTTCCAAATAGAATCTTTGCCTTCACTAAAGAAGTCTGGAAGAACCGCCTTTTTAAAAGTGTAGAACTCATGGTTCCACAGAGAATCATTGCCTTTACTAAAGAACCTTTGAAGAACTGTCATTTTCTAAGAGTTTAGAACGTATGGTTCTAAATTGAGCCATTACTTTTACTTAAGAACTCTAGATGAACGGCCTTTTTAAAACTGTAGAACTTATGCTTTTAAATAGAATAATTGCCTTTACTGAAGAACCTTTAACGAATTGTCTTTTGTAGGAATGTAGAACTCATGATTCTAAACTGAACCATTGCCTTTACTAAAGAACCCTAGAAGAACCGTCTTTTTGTAAGGGTTTAGAAATTATGGTTCTAAACTGAGCCATTGCCTTAACCAAAGAACCCCAGAGGAACTGCCTTTTTTAAAAGTGCAGAACTCATGATTCTAAATAGAACAATTGCCTTTACTAAAGAACCCTTGAAGATCTGTCTTTTTAGGAGTGTGGAACTCCTTCCACAGAGAACCATTCCATTTATTAAAAAAACTCTTGAAGAGCTGTCTTTTTTAAGTGTGTAGAACAAATGGTTCTAAATAGAACATTGCCCTTACAAAAGAACCCCTGAAGAACCATCTTTGTAAGTGTGCACTGTTGACTGTTGTTAATGAAACTGTAACTCACTGTTTCTGTTGAACTGTTTCAGTGCTTCGTCACGACTGTTAACGGTGAGTCCACATTAGAACCACTCAGCGCTGTTAAACTGCAGTACTGACTGTACGATTTATTGATCCTTTAACTGAAGATATTGTAAAGATAAATTAGTGAAACGCTGCCGTTGTTTATGTTTCTACTTATCATCTGTAATTTGTGAAAAATCATCACAGTATAATGTTTTTCTCTGATTGACTGAACAGAGAGTCAGATCTGCGAGGGGGTCAGCAGGTATGAGCAACAACTCAATAACGACAATAAAACGATTAAACATCGTGTAGAATTGTGTAAAATAGTGAAACGTGTAACAATCTGTTCTTCTTTTAGACCTTCTAGTGAGGAGCTCCTGAAGGAACTGCACAACGGCTCCTGTGTTTTCAGATTAGAGCAGTACGCCTGCTCTCGGGTCAGTCCTGACCTCTTTAACCCACTCATACCCGACACTTACCTTCAGAACAATTCAGCTACAGAGATGATCATTTGTGTAGTTATATCAGAAGTGGGAACAAGTACTAAGTTGCAAATAACAAGTATATCTCAAGTCTTGACACTTGAGTCCCGAGTCAAGACAGTCATGTCTCGATTCAAGACCAGAGTCAGTACAGGCAAGTCTCATGTCGAGCCACTAGTCAGTACAGGCAAGTATCAAGTCGAGTCTCGAGTCAGTACAGGCAAGTCTAAAGTCCCGAGTCAGTCCTGCCAAGTATCAAGTCGAGTCCCAGGTCAGTACAGGCAAATCTAAAGTCTCCAGTCAGTACACCCAAGTCTCAAATTGAGTCCTGAGTCAGTACAGGCAAGTCTAAAGTTGAGTCCCAAGTCAGTACAAGCAAGCATCAAGTCCCGAGTCAGTAGAGGCAAGTCTCATATCGAGCCACTAGTCAGGACAGGCAAGTATCAAGTCGAGTCTGTAGGTATTGTGATATAAACTGAGTCTGTTCTACAGTTTCTCATTAGGCTAAATGAATAACCGACTCTAAATGTAGGTATTGTGATATAAACTGAGTCTGTTCTACAGTTTCTCATTAGGCTGAATGAATAACCGACTCTAAATGTAGGTATTGTGATATAAACTGAGTCTGTTCTACAGTTTCTCATTAGGCTGAATGAATAACCGACTCTAAATGTAGGTATTGTGATATAAACCGAGTCTGTTCTACAGTTTCTCATTAGGCTGAATGAATAACTGACTCTAAATGTAGGTATTGTGATATAAACTGAGTCTGTTCTACAGTTTCTCATTAGGCTGAATGAATAACCGACTCTAAATGTAGGTATTGTGATATAAACCGAGTCTGTTCTACAGTTTCTCATTAGGCTGAATGAATAACCGACTCTAAATGTAGGTATTGTGATATAAACTGAGTCTGTTCTACAGTTTCTCATTAGGCTGAATGAATAACCGACTCTAAATGTAGGTATTGTGATATAGACTGAGTCTGATTGTGAACTCTGTTTTCAGCTGGATGGATTCAGCAGTAAAGACCTGGCTTCACTTCTGCGCTGCAGTCTGTACAACAACGTTATTTATCCAAACGCCGTGTGGAAGCTGCTGTTTATGAAAGAAGACAACATCCTGAATCAGGCTCTGCTCATCTTCTCCAACATGGCGGGGAACCAGGTAAGCAGACATTCGTATGAAACAGATAGTTCAGGTTCTGAAATCTGATTGGTCGAGCCACATTTAAAGATGTTATAAAATACATGATGTAAGTTATTAAAAAAGTGTTGTTCCTGAAATTCCCTATGCCTGTTTCGTAGCTTGGCAACCTGTTAAAGAACTGCATTTCTGAGTGTAAAAAGTGTTCATTGCAGTTATTATTAGTAATATATTAAATTATATATTGGACAGGTGTATTATATAGTCGTATACAATGATACTAGATCTAGTGTTAGCTGAAACTGTGGCTATACAGTTAGCATTACTGTTTTAGACCATTAGCTCATCTGAAGGGGCTGCCTTAGTTACCTGTCCAAGACGAAACCCTTACCAGTTTAACCCACAGTGACCAAAACTCTTTCTAAATAATTTGTGTACCTGTTTGCTGCTTAATTTCCCTTCATGCTGCTGATTTAGTTAGCATGCTGGCACCAGCTTACACGGTCTGTGAGTTATAGTAAGAGTAAGAATTACTGTATGTTAACACAGAGAGAAGAATCAGGTATTCAGACATGTTTGTTTTTGTTTACTAATAAAGTCCAAAGTGCATATCCACTTCAAATATACACACTTATGGTTTTTTGTCTTTGTGCTTATAAATATTAACAAAGAATTATGTATTGATAAGAACAAAGACAGGTTTTAAAAAACAAAACTGATAGAAAAAAGTTACAGATACTGTATTACAATATACACACGCATATAAAGGTCAATAATAAAAATAAGTCAAGTTCTTCCTATTAATGTAGCAACAATAAAAATGTTTTCATGCAAACTGCACCTAGTGTTATTATAAAAGATGTTTTAGATGTTTTGCCATTAGCTTTAGGCAACAAATAGCAGTCATGGTGAAGGTGAAGGAGCTTCCTGAAGTTCTCAAGAGGAACGTTATTAAACAACACTGGAATAGAAGAAGCTGCAGAGACTTGCAAAGACCGTAGCCATACTGTCAGTGGAGACAGTTTGATAATATTTAAGTGTAGAGTTCATGGACGTTCATGTGCAGGAGTACCACGCAGGATTTCTCCTGGACTGATGATGGGAAAGGTAAGAGAGAAGACAGCAGTCACTGGAGAAGATCTGCAGGATCTGAAAGCAGCAGAACGACAAGGAATGAACTGAACTGCAATCATCTTTGTTCCTCCCCACACTAAACTCCTCTGATTAAAAAGAAGAACCGAGTGTCCAAAATTTGCACACGAGCATTTAGACAAATCAGAACTGTTTGTCCACCAACTGTTCTTAAGAAGAAATTTCTCCTTAAACCCACTTACGCAGTTCTGACGAAGACTCTGACTCACCAACGTTCTCTATGTGGGGATTTGTTCTCAGGTGAGAACAGAATCTACACACTCAAGAGCACAGAGGTGAGAACAGTTCTGCGCTTTAAGAACACGACATAAATCTGACCGAGACTTTTTCTTAGGACCTTTCGCTAGAACACATCGGAGAACAAACTTATTGCTGAAAAAGGTGCAATGTTCTCTGATCAGAAGAAACAGAAAAAGAAGAAAAAACTGTTTGGTGGTGACTCAGCTTGTCAGGTTTGGAGAAAGAAGTGTCTGATCCTGAGAGCTCCCACAGTGAAGCATGGTGGTGGGAGCATCATGATCTGGAGCTGCTTCTCTGTAAACGATACTGGACGCCAGTGCTACGTACCATCAAAGGAAACATGAATGGACTGATGTAGTGGGAGATATTGGAGGAGAATCTCATCAGCCAAGAAACTGAATCTGGAAATAGACGTTTTAACAAGACAACAATTCCAAACACTCAGTCAGAACAACTCCAGCCTGGTTTCGAAAGAAGCTGAAGGTGGTTGCATGGATGAGCTGATCTTCTGACTGAATCACACTGAACCTTTCTGGAAATTCTTCAAATTGTAAGTCTGTCAAAGGGAACCTCTCAGGGAACTGAAGATGGTTTGCTGGGAGAAATGGACCAAAACTGAACCTCAGTGCTACAAAAAGCTATTTGCTTCTCACTTTAGACATCTTGAAGCCATAATCACAAAGTATAAATGTTATTAATTTGTGGTGTTTGAATATTTTTCCCCAAGCAATTCAATTTAGTTTTTTAAGCATATTATTGTTCATGCTTATCAATACAATACTGATAAGTACAAAGTCAAAACAAACCGGCCTTCCAAGTTGCATAATAAGATTGCAGATTTAAGATTTGATTCATAAAACTTCATGAAGATTTGATGTCAAATAATAAATCAGCTTTAGCCCGTGAAATCAAGCGCCATTTACGTATCATTTACATGAAGCACGCCCTAATTCATGCAGATGTTTCGGTAGGGAGCCAATAAAAAGATATCATTCAGCGGCTTGTGAGCCAATAGCGGTGCTCCTACGTGGAGTTTGAGATGCAGCAGTGAGTGCACAGCTCCCCCTACCGACCAAACCTTACAGAGTTAAAATTGCTCAGTTTTCATACGTTCTTCACAAGGAAGGTAAACCAGTAGTCGGTAGAAAAGAGTTGCAGGACGATCTTAAATCTATAAAAACGTCTTTTTTGTCATCTCCTCAGTCTCTGCCCATCAGAGGTGCTGCTGTATCTAACGTTCTGGACGTGATTGGTGAAGTTCGGATGGAGCAGTTCACTCCTCAACAGTGGAATGATGCAGCTTTCATCAGCAGGTTCTTCAGGGAGAACCTGAGGCCGTATCTGTCGTCCGTGTCCAGAAACTTTCTCTCCTGTTTAATGACCAAGAACCTCAGCTGCCAAACCTTCCAGGACATGTAAGAGTTCTCTTTAGTCAAAAAATCCCCACCCATTCAGAAACAGCAGTTTAGCCCCACCCATTCAGCTACAGCAGTTTAGCCCCACCCATTCAGCTACAGCAGTTTAGCTCCACCATTCAGCTACAGCAGTTTAGCTCCACCCATTCAGCTACAGCAGTTTAGCTCCACCCATTCAGCTACAGCAGTTTAGCTCCACCCATTCAGTCTACAGCAGTTTAGCTCCACCATTCAGTCTACAGCAGTTTAGCTCCACCATTCTCAAACATAATAAGTGGACCTCAGAGGAAAAAATAAAATATAAGAAACAAGAAAATATGAGTAAGAAAATAAGAAAATGTAGAATATGAGCTTTTAAGCACCACTACACTTCTTTTAATCCCCCTATTTTCTAGTTTTTGCTGTGTATCACTTCATTAACTGTAATGTTTGCTTTCTCAGTCTGCAGGAGTTCAGTTCTGAGTCCATCTACATGGATGCTGTCAATCATGAGAGAGAGAACGTCCTCAACGACTTCATCCTGCCTTTCATGCACAGGAATACTAGAGGTATTTCATAAAACTTCATACTTCTACACGTGTACATGTTTACATTTTAGGTTTGTGCATATGCTGTGATACTTAAACATATATATGTATATATATATATACATATATATATATATATATATATATATATATATATATATATATATATATATATATATATATATAAATCACCACACTTTCCTCAAAGCTTGTGGAGGTGTTCAGTGTCTCTAATAGACTTGATTATGTTATTTCTGACACTGTATGACTCACTGTTATCTATAAACATAAGCGACAGTACATTAGCATAGCGATAAATAGTTGCAGCCATCTCAAAGCCTGAAATTTGGTGCAGTTTGAGGCAAGTGAGTAATGATTTAGGCAGCAGCTAATTGGGTTATAGGCTTCCATTACTTGGTAGCTATATTAGCCTCGTAGCTCCAGTGCTACACTACATTAGCAACTGCATTTGCAATATGGGGACACTGTGTAAATTTGATTTTCTACCAAAAATAATGTTTTATGCTTTTTTATCTTCACTATCCATGCAAATATTTCCTCTACAGTCACTGTGTATTTAGCTGTCTCAATGTAAATGTGTTCCAGATCCAGGCTGTGTTTCCAGCACTAACAACAGTGTTGAGTGGCTCCTGAGGAACTTTGGGCCATTTGCTGAGTTCCTGTCCCTCAGAGACCTGATCTCACTCAACCCCCACTTTAATCCAGTGAGTTTCAGAAGACTAAAATGTATAATACAGATAATATTTGAAATTGTTTTACATAAAGTTGAACATATCACATTTGGCAAGGGTTACTTTGCGCAAAATTCCTATGAGAATGGGAGATACTTAAGCATGTGAGATGATGTAAAAGTGTTGATGGGTGACACATAAGCCTTTTTCGAGAGATGTAGGAGCCCTGGGTGATATTGAAACGTTGGGAAGTGTTGAAGCATTGGGAGCGCATTGTTGGGAGGTGTTGAAGCATTGGGAAAGCGCAGAAGTGGCGGGAGGTGTTGAAGCATTGGGAGAGCAGAAGTGTCAGGAAGTGTTGAAGCATTGGGAGAGCAGAAGTGTCGGGAGGTGTTAAAGCATTGGGAGAGCGCAGAAGTGTCGGGAGGTGTTGAAGCATTGGGAGAGCGCAGAAGTGTCGGGAGGTGTTGAAGCATTGGTAGAGCGCAGAAGTGTCGGGAGGTGTTGAAGCATTGGGAGAGCGCAGAAGTGTCGGGAGGTGTTGAAGCATTGGGAGAGCGCAGAAGTGTTGGGAGGTGTTGAAGCACTGGGAGAGTGCAGAAGTGTCGGGAGGTGTTGAAGCATTGGGAGAGTGCAGAAGTGTCGGGAGGTGTTGAAGCATTGGGACAGTGCAGAAGTGTCGGGAGGTGTTGAAGCATTGGGAGAGCGCAGAAGTGTCGGGAGGTGTTGAAGCGTTGGGAGAGCGCAGAAGTGTCGGGAGGTGTTGAAGCATTGGGAGAGCGCAGAAGTGTCGGGAGGTGTTGAAGCATTGGGAGAGCGCAGAAGTGTTGGGAGGTGTTGAAGCATTGGGAGAGCGCAGAAGTGTCGGGAGGTGTTGAAGCATTGGGAGAGCGCAGAAGTGTCGGGAGGTGTTGAAGCATTGGGAGAGCGCAGAAGTGTCGGGAGGTGTTGAAGCGTTGGGAGAGCGCAGAAGTGTCGGGAGGTGTTGAAGCGTTGGGACAGTGCAGAAGTGTCGGGAGGTGTTGAAGCATTGGCAGAGCGCAGAAGTGTCGGGAGGTGTTGAAGCATTGGGAGAGTGCAGAAGTGTTGGGAGGTGTTGAAGCATTGGGAGAGTGCAGAAGTGTCGGGAGGTGTTGAAGCATTGGGAGAGCGCAGAAGTGTTGGGAGGTGTTGAAGCATTGGGAGAGCGCAGAAGTGTCGGGAGGTGTTGAAGCATTGGGAGAGCGCAGAAGTGTCGGGAGGTGTTGAAGCATTGGGAGAGCGCAGAAGTGTTGGGAGGTGTTGAAGCACTGGGAGAGTGCAGAAGTGTCGGGAGGTGTTGAAGCATTGGGAGAGCGCAGAAGTGTCGGGAGGTGTTGAAGCATTGGGAGAGCGCAGAAGTGTTGGGAGGTGTTGAAGCATTGGGAGAGCGCAGAAGTGTCGGGAGGTGTTGAAGCATTGGGAAAGTGCAGAAGTGTCGGGAGGTGTTGAAGCATTGGGAGAGCAGAAGTGTCGGGAGGTGTTGAAGCATTGGGAGAGCAGAAGTGTCGGGAGGTGTTGAAGCATTGGGAGAGTGCAGAAGTGTCGGGAGGTGTTGAAGCATTGGGAGAGTGCAGAAGTGTCGGGAGGTGTTGAAGCATTGGGAGATATAGGAGTGTTGGGAAGTTTATTTAGGCCATGATTATTTTAGAGTCCTTCAGTGGATTGTTCGATGCTCATACACGTCAAACTCATCATGTACAACAAGATACAATATGCTGTACTGTTTTACCCTTTCTTTATCTCTCTCTCTCTCTCTCTGTCTCTCTCTCTCTCCCTCTCTTTCTCTCTCTCTCTCTCTTTCTCTCTCTAGGTTCTGGCATTGCCCTATCTCACGCCACTGCAGACTGCAGAGCTGATGGTGCTGGACGTTCCTGGAATTCCGAATGATTATGCCATTAACTCAGTGTTTAATTTCCTGATCGAGTCTCCAGGAGCCCACAGAATGTCTGATGTTCTGAGTTCCCTCTTTTATCTCTCTCCCACGGTAATGTCCACATGCCCGGTCATGTTCTGTTTCAGCTCTTACCTGCACAGTCAGGTCTGAAAGCAGCACTGTGTATGTTTGGGGATTTGGAGACTCCTCTGGTGGAAATATGTAACTGCAAGCATCTTGAAGAAGTACATTTTTGTAATGTCGGTTTGTTTATTGTCTTTTTTCTAATGTCACATTTTAACTGATTTGAACTCCCTCTGTACCCCTCAGGTCACCATACAATGCACCTCCTATAAACTTATGTAAGTATAAGATGTGACATGATTTTCATAAAATGTTTCTAAATTACTGAACTAGGTTTGTGATGTTTGTTGGTTTAAGTGATGTATAACAGTATGAATAATAGTGTGTAATACTGCTTTAAACTGTATTCATTCTGACTACTTCAGTAACATTTCCACTGTTACAGAATATGCCATCATATTTACCCATGTACCTTTTTGTAATAAGGCCCCTGAGGCTGTAAACAATATAAGGTGCTTCATTAACGTTACTGTATTGTGTTCTCTCAGTTTCATGCGGCTGCTCGAGGCTCTGCAGTCTGTACCTTCAGATATTCATCCAGTGATCTGGGGCAGCATCAATGATCTGATGCAGACGTCTCCAAAAGGTCTGTAAAGAGGTTTATCTGCCATAATATTGGTGTTTTTATGACTAGCTTTAACTAATTAACTCTGTTTCTGACGTGTTGTGTGTCTGTTTATTCTGACAGAGTGTTTGCCAGCTGCTCTGAAGGTATTCTGATCTGGATGAGTGTGTTTGTGTCTATAGTGTTGCATGTTCTTATAAATATTTCAAGCACTGTTTTTATTGGGTACAGTATATTAGGGTCAGTATATTATGGTCAGTTTATTGTGGGATTTCTGGGCCAACACAATAACCGATATTTAAAACCCTGTTGTTGCTGTTACTGGTAGCAATAACTTCTATTTTTAATTTGCTTACATTTTAGAACAATTTCTTTCTATAGTTCCTGAACAGTTTTGTGCAAATGTATGATTTTAGCATATTGGAAAAAAATAAAACATTTGAAAATAGTGTTATAACATTTGCACAGGCTACATTTTATGTTTTGTTTTTTTCCCCAATATGTTACATTGAGTAAATGAATAGTTATTGTGTATTAAAATGTGTAGATGTGTGTGGAGTATGTGTAGAAAATCCACAAAATGTTTAATATACTATACATTGTGAACAACATATCTGTCGCTTAACTACTTGTCTTCTCTTCTCAGTGTCCAGTCACAGCGTATAATGGTGAGTGAAAATGAAGCGTCTAATATTAATGCTGCATTACGTTTTTCTCTCTTATTTATATGAATTGTTTACTTTCATATCTGACTTTTCGCAGAATCTCAGATGTGCCAAGGTGTTGACAGGTGAGTGAGTTTAAACACCAGTGTAGCTTCCAGTGCTCAAGTTTTCATTGTCTTCCTCCAGTAGAAAATGGCTTTAGCATGCAAGTCCCCATGAACACACACCAGCAGGAGCTCACAAATGCATGTGTTTGCAGCAGCTTTCAAAGCAACACAGGAAATATTTTACAAAACGGTCACTCTGTATTATGTTCTGAATATATATTTTTCATTAATGGTTGTGAATAAGTTGATTTTCACTGCTATAAAATAAAAATCAGATTGTATGTCTAAGCTGCAGACATTCTTTGTAGGTGTGTATTTTTTTTGCAAGAAAATATGCTGTTTTTAGAAGTTGCCCAGGACTAATAAAGAGCTGTTGTACTTATTGTTAAGTGACATACAGTATAAAGACAACACACTGGCTATTTAGCTACGAATAATTAGCCAGCCAGCTCAGCTCAGCTCACCTTCTCAGGTTGGATTATACTATAATCTGTGATTTCTTTTGCTTATTAAAATTAAAATAGCCGAACAAAACTCTCACTGGTCAGACCAGCGTGTATATTGTGTGAAATTAATCGTATGCTCTGTGTATCTGTATTTGTTCCTCAGCTCTGCGGTGCAGACTCTCATCACCACCGGGGGCTCTGCTGAGTCATGGTGCAGAATTAGCCTTCAAAACTACTCATGTGCTAATGTGAGTTTGCTGGACATATCAAAACATATCAGAAAACGATGTTGAATTCTTTGAATGATGAAAGATGAAATCCAGAGGTGGAATAAGTGCTGAATATTCATTCTTCAGTAAGAATGCAGCTAATGTAGTGCTAATAAACCCACATATAAAACATCAGTACAGAAAGTCACTCAAGAAAGAGTAAATAAGTTAGTTTATCGAGAAAGTACTCGCCACTTTTTACTGAAAGACATCCCAATACAAAATGCAAATGTGTTAGCTATAACCAATTAGCTTACCCAGCTAACAAGCTCTCGCAACAGCACAGCTCTGGGTTCAGTAAACAACCGTCATCATTGTTATTATAAAATGACATAAAGAATATAGTAAAAGATGGTTTAGTCAGTCAGTTTAACAGCTTCACCTCATAAGACGTTCTGAAAAACAGAGTTCTGTTCTTTGCTGTGGAGAATTTTCAAAAATAAAAATAGCTCATTTAAATACTTTGATTAAACAAACGTTTTTAAAATAATTAGTTATATTCACAGATATATTTCCAGGGACGAAAATTATGGAGTAATAATAAAGATAATTATAGAGAAGAAATGATTATACTCACTTAAAGGTGTTTGTTCAAGGGTTCTTTAGTAAACACGATGGTTCTCTTCATTATGGAGAATATATGATTGCTGACTTGCATGGTGAACTGGTTCTTGAATGTGTTGTACCTTTTTGAAAATGGTTCTATATAGCAACAAAAAGGGTTCCTCTGTAGGTGCAAGCTTGACATCATAACAGTAGCAGAACCCTTTTTGGTGCTATAGAACCATATGCAACACAGTCTCCATCAATCTCAAGAACCACTTCACCATGCAGAGAACCATTTAATCATGGAATGGTTCTCATGGTTCTGTATAGATTTACTAAAGAACCCCTGAAGAACCATTTTTAGAGTGTACACACTTAAAACGTTGTACATTAAACTATGAACACTGAAAGAACCCTTTGCATGATTAAAGAGCTCTTTGCATGAGATGGTTCTCATGGTTCTATACAGAACCATGAGAACCATCTCATGCAAAGAGCTCTTTAAGTCTCTTTAAGAGTGTTTATGAGAGTGTTTGAGTGTGTTTATGAGAGTGTTTGAGTGTGTTTATGAGAGTGTTTGAGTGTGTTTATGGGTGTTTATGAGTGTATTTATGAGAGTGTTTATGAGTGTGTTTATGAGTGTGTTTATGAGAGTGTTTATGAGAGTGTTTATGAGAGTGTTTGAGTGTGTTTATGGGTGTTTATGAGTGTATTTATGAGAGTGTTTATGAGTGTATTTATGAGAGTGTTTATGAGAGTGTTTATGAGAGTGTTTGAGTGTGTTTATGAGAGTGTTCATGAGCGGTTTATGAGTGTGTTTATGAGAGTGTTTATGAGAGTATTTGAGTGTGTTTATGAGAGTGTTTATGAGCGGTTTATGAGTGTGTTTATGAGAGTGTTTATGAGAGTGTTTAGGAGTGTGTTTATGAGTGTTTGAGTGTGTTTATGAGAGTGTTTGAGTGTGTTTATGAGAGTGTTTGAGTGTGTTTATGAATGTGTTTATGAGAGTGTTTGAGTGTGTTTATGAGAGTGTTTGAGTGTGTTTATGAGAGTGTTTGAGTGTGTTTATGAATGTGTTTATGAGAGTGTTTGAGTGTGTTTATGAGAGTGTTTGAGTGTGTTTATGAGAGTGTTTGAGTGTGTTTATGAATGTGTTTATGAGAGTGTTTGAGTGTGTTTATGGGTGTTTGAGTGTATTTATGAGTGTATTTATGAGAGTGTTTATGAGTGTGTTTATGAGAGTGTTTGAGTGTGTTTATGAGTGTGTTTATGAGTGTTTGAGTGTGTTTATGAGAGTGTTTGAGTGTGTTTATGAGAATGTTTATGAGAGTGTTTGAGTGTGTTTATGGGTGTTTATGAGTGTGTTTATGAGAGTGTTTATGAGTGTGTTTATGAGCGGTTTATGAGTGTGTTTATGAGTGTATTCATGAGAGTGTTTATGAGAGTGTTTGAGTGTGTTTATGAGAGTGTTCATGAGCAGTTTATGAGTGTGTTTATGAGAGTGTTTATGAGAGTATTTGAGTGTGTTTATGAGTGTTTGAGTGTTTATGAGAGTGTTTATGAGTGAGTGTGTTTATGAGTGTGTTTATGAGTGTTTATGAGAGTGTTTGAGTGTGTTTATGAGTGTTTGAGTGTTTATGAGAGTGTTTATGAGTGTTTGAGTGTGTTTATGAGTGTGTTTATGAGCGGTTTATGAATGTGTTTATGAGAGTGTTTATGAGCGGTTTATGAGTGTGTTTATGAGAGTGTTTATGAGAGTGTTTGAGTGTGTTTATGAGAGTGTTTATGAGCGGTTTATGAGTGTGTTTATGAGAGTGTTTATGAGCGGTTTATGAGTGTGTTTATGAGAGTGTTTATGAGAGTGTTTATGAGAGTGTTTATGAGCGGTTTATGAGTGTGTTTATGAGAGTGTTTATGAGAGTGTTTATGAGCGGTTTATGAGTGTGTTTATGAGTGTGTTTATGAGAGTGTTTATGAGAGTGTTTGAGTGTGTTTATGAGAGTGTTTATGAGAGTGTTTGAGTGTGTCTATGAGAGTGTTCATGAGCGGTTTATGAGTGTGTTTATGAGTGTGTTTATGAGAGTGTTTATGAGAGTGTTTGAGTGTGTTTATGAGAGTGTTTATGAGAGTGTTTGAGTGTGTTTATGAGAGTGTTCATGAGCGGTTTATGAGTGTGTTTATGAGTGTGTTTATGAGTGTGTTTATGAGAGTGTTTATGAGAGTGTTTATGAGCGGTTTATGAGTGTGTTTATGAGAGTGTTTATGAGCGGTTTATGAGCGGTTTATGAGTGTGTTTATGAGTGTGTTTATGAGAGTGTTTATGAGAGTGTTTGAGTTTGTTTATGAGAGTGTTTATGAGAGTGTTTATGAGCGGTTTATGAGCGGTTTATGAGTGTGTTTATGAGAGTGTTTATGAGAATGTTTGAGTTTGTTTATGAGAGTGTTTATGAGAGTGTTTATGAGCGGTTTATGAGCGGTTTATGAGAGTTGTGTGTCAGTGTGTGAAGTTAATGCTCCAGTCTGACTGTCCGTCTCTCCTGCAGCTGGACAGACTAACTGCGCTCCAGCTCTCCACTCTGCTGCAGTGTCAACTCACCAGCAATGAGGTTTATTCTAAAGAAGTCTGGAAGCTGTTCTTCTCTAAAGTCTCCGGTGTTCTGGATAACGCCCTCGTTCTGCTGTTCAGAAAGGTAAATAACACACAAACATACATTTTAATAACAACAAGAACGATAAGTTCTGTCTTTACAGTGTTTTATAAAATTCCAAGGACTCTTAAACTGAAATTTTCTAAAAGTAATGACCTGCCAGATGTGCTCCTGTAGATCCACTGTAGAGTTCTAATTGTGAGCTCTACTCGCTTGGGAACGTGCATTTTTCTTGTGTGTAGCCATAATTTAAAAGCTCGTGCTAGTCTTTGCGTTGTGTGAAGTTTTTGTTAAATAAATTATCAACAGAAACCGTCTAATTATTAAAGTCTTACTACATTAACTTCCCTTATTTCTCATGATTCTAAATACTTATACTTTCTTGTACCACTGTTTTTTATCGCCTGTGTGTAAAGCACTTGGAGTAAGAAGTTAAAATAAGTTAAGAATGTTTTTCTGTAAAGTTAGCATTTTGGAGATAAAACAATTTATATACTGTAGCATGCAAATGTTTGTGCACCCCTTGTCAAATGACATGTTGATTTTTCTAAGTATAAACACATCTTCTACAGCAGGGGTGTCAAACTCAACCACTAAAATTGCCATTCATTTCGTTTTTACTTAACGTTTTGCCATGACCCCAACTGGCCATTGTTTATTAAAACAAAAGCCAAGTCTGACAGAAAATGAACGCTGGATTCCTGAACTTTTTGCTTGAACTAGACACCTGACATCTTTCCTTTTTGTGTAACCACTGGCCCTAGATGGTTGTTGGGGTTCAAAACACGCACTATGTTGCAGAGCATGCTGGGGACTGTAGTGCAGCTCAGGGTCAAACAGGCTAATATTAATAGAAAATTAAAATAATTTCACAGGCCGATTAGACATGGGCTCTACAGAGACACACTTGAATATTACATTTTCCTGCAAATGTTAGTGACAGCTTTTATTTATTTGCTGAGTTTGACAAATTGGAAAAAAATAACGCATAATATAATAAAATATTAAAGGTGCCATTTTTTTTGCACAGTCTACATTTAAAGTTTTTTTTCTCAATATGTTAAATTTAACAAAAACAAAGAAAGTGTGTATTAATGTGTTTCCTGTAGAGAACGGTTCAGTTACTCACACTCAGAATCAGATGAGAATGGGTTAAAGGTTGTTTTGAATATGGATCATATTTTTACCATTAAGTTGTCAGTAAACAGCCTTCAGTGCTCCTGTTAGTCTGGAGTTGCTCTGATGTTCCACCAGAATGTCATGTAAGAAGTGTGAGATGTTGTCCATACTGCGCTGAAGTTCCTCGTGTTCCTCTCCTGCAGACCGTCTCTGTGAATGGACCGAATGCTCCAGTGGTTCTGGAGGTTCTTGCTGAGCTTCGACTGGGCCAGTTCACGCCGGATCAGTGGGCCAGTGGACAAGTGGTCTCTACCTGGCTGAAGGACCACCTCGCACCTTTCTTACCTTCAGTATCTGGAATCTTCCTCTACTGTCTCAGCAGCAACAATCTCACCTGCCAGTCCTACCAGAACATGTGAGTGCAATAAAGATGACCTCTGTAATGGACTATTATTGGAGTAATTAACTAGTCAGATCTAATCTGTTCTAGCTCATATCGCCCCCTACACTTCCTGTAGTGTATTACAGTCTGTCAGAGTGACTGTGTGGATCATATGAACATTATAGAGCTTTTTAAATGAAACAGTAGAAGCCATATCGCCCCCTACGCTTCCTGTAGTGTATTACAGTCTGTCAGAGTGACTGTGTGGATCATATGAACATTATAGAGCTTTTTAAATGAAACAGTAGAAGCCATATCGCCCCCTACGCTTCCTGTAGTGTATTACAGTCTGTCAGAGTGACTGTGTGGATCATATGAACATTATAGAGCTTTTTAAATGAAACTGTAGAAGCCATATCGCCCCCTACGCTTCCTGTAGTGTATTACAGTCTGTCAGAGTGACTGTGTGGATCATATGAACATTATAGAGCACTTTTTAAATGAAACAGTAGAAGCCATATCGCCCCCTACACTTCCTGTAGTGTATTACAGTCTGTCAGAGTGACTGTGTGGATCATATGAACATTATAGAGCACTTTTTAAATGAAACAGTAGAAGCCATATCGCCCCCTACACTTCCTGTAGTGTATTATGTGCTGTTGTTATGATGTCAAGTTGTAACAATAGAAGAACCCTTTTTGGTACTATATAGAACCATATGCAACACATTCTCCACTACTACAGCCATTTTCTTTACTAAAGAACCCTTGAAGAAGCACCCTTTTTAAGTGTGTATGGAAAAGTCTATCTTCTCCCCAGCAGCTACAATATAAAAACAGAAATCCACAAAATACAGTCAGACAAAACAGAGCTAAATATTACAGATGTGTGTAAACTTGTTTTCTTTGTTGCTGTTTACAGCCTGGCCGTGTTCAATGATGAGTTCTCTGCAATGGATGGAGCGAGAACAGAACTGGTGCTGAAGTATTTTATCGAACCAATCCTGACCAGCAACTCCACAGGTGACTAAAATCATTCACCACTCTGCTAAAAATTATACCGTGGCAAGTGAAATCTTATATCTACACAATATATCTGTTATTTTTCATTATGAGATTACTGTAGGGATATTCAAAGATTGTTACAGTTCATCACTTTCCTTTTTAATCAGTCTCACTATATTGGCAGATAAGTTTGCTTTTCTAAAGAAACATGCAAAATTATCTGCCAGTGTAAAAAAATCACGTTAGATATATTCACCAGATTTAAGAGTTCACTCGCCATGATGTCATTTTTTTTGCAGTGTAAAAAAATCTATTTCATTTAATATTTTGTGAACTAATTTCAACTTGGTATTAAAGTATTAAACGCAATGTGATATTTTTATCAATCAATCAACAGAGTTTTCTGTTGTTGTGTTAAAATCAGTATCGTATGACCAAAAAACCTGAATTTAGAGCCAGAATAAGTGCTAAAAATGTACTTTTTAACAATATGATTTGATCTGATTTGAACAATGTCGTCGTATATCTGCTCTGAGAACAAACAGACCAACATTTAACCTTTCAGATATGGATATTAATGTGTGAAATGTATTATTATACATTGTAAAAAGTGCCTGTTGGTGAATTCTATGATGTGAACCTGTAATAATGTGACTGTTCTGTATTTCTCTACAGGCGGCTGCATTTCCTACAACAGTACTGAGTGGTTGTTGAGGAACTTTGGGCTGTTTTCACAGTTTGTCACTCTGAAACAGCTGATGAGCATCAATAGGAACTTCAACCCAGTATGTTTTCAGCAGCTCCGTCCCACATTCAGTCTGGCACCTCACTAATGCATAATAATAATAATAATAATAATAATAATAGTAAAAGTAATAATAATTCATATAGTATCTTTCATACATAAAATGAAAGGCAGCCCAAACCGCTTTACAAAACGTTTTAAAACAAACTATATATGTCTATGGTAATAAAAAGTAATTACACAAACATAACTGCGGCAAGAATATGGTGGTGTAACATAAAACAATGAAAACAACAATAATAATTGAAAAAAATAGGTGAGAGAAATAAAACCAAGCAACAGGTCGGTTGCCCCAGCCTCAGTAAGCTCAACTGTAAGCTTAACTGTAATGTAAGTGTTTACTAAGTTCAGATTTACTCATTACTAAATCATAATGGGTCTCTGCACACCAACTGATTTTAACATTGAGCTTAGTAGTTACTAACTATTCACACCCAAGGGCAGCTGAATGTTTTGGGGAAACCATTAAAAAAGAGCATGAAGCTGAAATCCACAGCTCCAGTGAGACACAGCTAAAACATCTAACCAGAAAAAACTGTGTATTTGGTTGTCATAAGGAAATATTAAAGAATAAACAGACAAATTCTGTATATATATATATATATATATATATATATATATATATATATATATATATATATATATAAAACTAGCATAACTAAGGACATAAATTCACATCTTATTAGTTTAGAATTGGCAATGTTTTATTCCTGTACGTTCTATATAATGTCAACGTTACTCAAGGAACCTAAATCTGAGTTTTCTCTCTAATTAAGTTAATCTTGTTCCTCTGGGCCCAAAATATATGTGCAATGTCTGTCTTACGAAAACCATCCCAAAATCCGAAAAATTTCATCGTATTTCTCTCTCTCTGTGTAAACTGGGCAGTCTTAATCTTGGGTAAAGCCTCCATAAGCATTCCCCTGACCAATCACAAGGCTGAAATCTCTTGCCTCGCCCTGATTTTCACAAAACAGACCTCCAAGTCCGTCATAATGCAGGTCATAACGAGTAAAGCTTAATACACAGCGAATAAGCCGTTTAGTGTCTAATAAGGATGTAATAAAACAAAGAACAGGGTTGTAATAAACCTCCCAGACACATTCCTCAAATTAAAGTGTAACTTTAACTACCGTTAAACATTAAATGCTGTTTCTCTGTCTGCAGCTGCTGGCTCTGCCGTATCTGACTCCACTCCAAACAGCAGAGCTGATGGTGGAGGATCTTACTGGACTTCCAAATAAACCCACCATCATCAACACAGTGTTCGACTTCCTGCTTCAGCCACCATGGCGATACAGGCTTCCTGAGGTTCTGCAGGAGCTGTCTGTCCTGGCTGGAACGGCACGTATATGTATCTATTTGTTAGGAGAGTAACAGTATAAATAATCGTAGCGTTTAGCATCGTATCATACTGGATTATAACACTGGATCATGGCTAGCATGTTAGCTCATGGGTATCATATTAGCTCATAGCTAGCGTGTTAGCCCTGAGCTCTGTAAAGCATTTGTTTATTAATAATGTGATCTGGATGGAAGAGGCTGAACTCCACTGTGCTGTTCCAAAGTCTGTATTCTATTTTTATATTAAAAAAAAATTAAGACCGATGAAGTTTGTGAATTGTTACACCACTATTGTATATGGTTCTATGCAAAAGTTTGGGCACCCCAGTCAAATTCCATATTGCTGTTTATTTGCTGAACTTAAGTAATTTATACATACTGGAAAAAAAAACGGTAACACTTTCTATGAATGTTACCTTTGTAAGCATAAAAATGAATTACACTGAATTACACTTTATAGCCATGTTTATAATACATTATAAATTGTTAATATAATGCATTATAAATAGTGTTAATAACATGTTATAATGTCAGTGCCAAAGAAGTCAGTCCCAGCTTGGAGAGCGTAAAGTAAAGACAAATACCAAGCTAACGGTGGTGAACATTACCTTTCCCACATTGGGTAAAACACTGATGGCAGCACTAGTTTAAACTCTGACATTTGAAGCCTGTAATGTGCTTTACTGTGAATGTTTTAGTGTTTCAGTAAATCCTTCAGTAAATACTTCAACTTGAAGCCTCACTCTGAACACTGGAGGAGGCTTTAGTACAGTACGCTTCACTTTACTTAGAGCGGACAAATACCACTTATGAGCTCTTATAATTTGTTATGATCAGTACTTATAATGTATTATGTTAACAATTCATAATGCATAATAAGCATGGCTATAACATATAATGCATTTTTATAAATATTTATAGCTATGTTTATAATGTCTTATGCATGCATTATAACATGTTATGAATGCGTTTATAGATGCTTACAAAGGTGACATTCATAGAAAGTGTTACCGTATAATGTATATTTTGTTTTTCAGATGCCTCTGAGTTGTGTGATTTACCAAACAATGTAAGTTCAGAAATTTAAGTGTAATTAAATCTAATTTAGCTTAAGTGTTAATTTTAGTAGATGATGGTGGTCAGTACTTTAGCGTCTGTGTGACATCATTAACAATCAGTTCTTTTGCTGTAATCGATCAGCTTTTCACGGCTGGAGGGTATACTGACATCATCACCTGGTGACCTGGAGCCGGTGATCTGGGCGAGCGTGTATGACCTCACACCCAAAGCACCGGCAGGTGTGTAACGTTCTGTAAACACTCTCAGGGACAGTTAATACTCACATTTATAGTAATTACACATTTGTCTAACGTTATTTCTGTTTGGGTATGTTTACAGGATGTCCTCTGTTCCCACTGAATCAGCAGGTAAGTTCTGTAGTCCATTACAAAAATACAGTGGATACTGATGTACATAGAACATGACAGCAACATGTGCTCACTATATGAAGTAATGTTCAGTTTACCAACAGCTGTAGCTCATCACTCAAACTGGAAATAACATCAAACTGTCTATGTTATACCTGTAAAATTCAAAACATGATGTGAAAATTTGGGAATTTGTGCAAAATTAATGAATTTCAAATGAATAAATAGAATTAGTAGCCATTTCAGATCTAGAAATTTCATCTACATCACTACAACCTGCATCACCCAGTCAGATCCACTCCGTTCAATTTCCCCTCGCCCAGTCAGATCCACTCCAGTCAATTTTAAATTCTAAATTTTCCCTTACCCTGTCCAATATAATTCTAAAGTTACATGTTTAAAAGATAAAATTAAATTTCAAATCTAAAATTACTCTCACCTTTTCAGATGCTGTTGAATTCCAAAATTAAAATTCTTAAAATTATTTAAAATTACAAGTCAATTCTGGTTAAAAAATGTCTTTGTCTCTGCCTGTAAGAGAGAATAGTAACATGACTGTATTTTCAATCAGAATAGTTCATTTTTGTGACTGAAACCTTGCAGTGGGTTCAGTGCATGTGGCACCTACGGCTTTACCTCAATTACATGCTATAACACAGTTAATTACCTGTAATATTTCCTTTTGTTCCAGTGTCCAGCTTCTCCATTCAGTGGTGAGTTTTACTCAATTACTTCATTTCATTTCTAATTGGATTCCACTTTTCTCTGTCATGGCTAACTTTGGTACTGTTGCGTCTGTGTTTCAGTGACGGCGGTGTGCCAGGGAAATCAGAGGTACATCTATAACTGACCGATTTCTTTACTCACTGCGAGACATTAAATCAATAGTTTTAATAGAACGGCAATAGAGGAGGAAAGGAATCTGGCGATGTAGGTGACGAGAACAGCATCACTCTTTTCTACTTTGGTGCAGTCAACGGCTTTATCACGTGAAGCATGATCACTGTTTTCACTGTTTCATGAGCAACTGTTGCGGGCGAGTTTCAAGTGTGTTGCAGATGCTTTACATTGTGCAGCTCAAGTGCAGTGTAGTTTCATGTATGTTTCAAGCAACTAAAGTTGCACGGACATCTCGCCTTGTAAAGTCAGCCTAATTATAAAATGTACAATGCGTTAAAGAAAATAATAATATCTTGAGAACCTCAACAACAACATACAGAGCACAGTGCTAACAGTATCTCCAGTACATTAAAACAATGGTTTGGTGAAAAATCAGAGTCTCACAGTTTCTCCCCCTCTTTCAAGTCGATCAGTCCAGACATGATCGGTGTCTAAAGTTTGCTTCTTTAGTTTTAGCACTGGAGCTACAAAAGCTAACGTAACTAATCATATACCCAGCCAATTAGCAATGCTCTATGCTTCCATTACTTGTTAGCTACATTAGCCTCATAGCTCTAGTGCTTATCACTATACTACTGAATCACTGTACGATTGCTTTAACTGATCAGGAATGAGTATATTATGCTCCAGTCTGAGTGTTCTGTCCATGTTGCTATGGTTACAGCATCTTCATGCAGCAGTATGTTGGCAATGGAACCCTGACAGTGCCATGTGACCTCCCCATCCCAGAATATGCTTGTGCAAAGGTAATCATCAGTGCATGTTAAAGATACAGAGTCTACTAAGAGTTCAAACCTAATGTTTAGCACTAAGCAATAGGGACACACTCTGTAGAACCTATAACGTACTGGTTCCTGTTCTGACATCAGTACAGTTTGATTGAAGCTCTGTAGAACCTATAACCACCTGGTTTCTGTGTGTGGTCTTTCAACATCACTTTTGTAATAACTATAGCCTGAATGAAGCTCTGTAGAACATGTAGCTGCCTGGTTTCAGTGTGTCTTTAGTCTGTGAACAGTTATGAGGTTATGAGGTCAGTACAGTCTGAATGGAGCTGTGTAGAACCTATAACCTTCTGGTTTCAGTGTGCTTTAGTTTCTGAACATCAGTTACAAGATCAGTAGAGCCTGAATGGAGCTGTGTAGAGCCTATAACCACCTGGTTTCTGTGTGTTTTAGTTTCTGTACATCAGTCCTGAGATCAGTAGAGTCTGAATGAAGCTCTGTAGAACCTATAACCACCTGGTTTCAGTGTGCTTTAGTTTCTGAACATCAGTTATGAGATCAGTAGAGTCTGAATGAAGCTGTGCAGAACATTTAAGCTCCTGGAATCTGTGTGTTTGTAGTCGCTGAACATCAGTTCTGATGAGTTGGTGTGCATCTTGGAGAACACCTTGAAGAATGATAGTTCCTTCGACACAGTGGAGGCATGGAAACTGTTCCTGACCAGAGGGTCAAACCAGCTGGACTCAGCCCTGCTCAAGCTGTCCAGCCAGGTGAGAACACTCTGTTAGTACCTATACACACACACAAACACACACACACACACACACACATATATGTATATATATATATATATATATAAACAGTATTACTTTGTATAACAGTATAGAAAGTAAAGTACTGAATTTACATACTCTATATCTATAAAATGTCCACAAACAGTAATAATAATAGTATATAAAGTGTATCAATTATAATAAACAGAATATACTGTGTGTGTGATAATAATAGTAATACACAATATGATAATAACATAAATAACAAGATACACAATACCAGCATAGTAAAAACATATACTGTCACTGTCTGGACAAAAACAAGTATCTCCATTTTTGTTGATTGTTTTTTTTATAGGTCATGAAATTTTCTGTTTTAATATGTTAAAATTCCACGATGAACAGACAAATAGAAATGCCCCAAAATTTCATTAAGAAATAAGATTTGTTAAGTTTTGTTTCTTTCTCCTATAAAGTTAATTTTGGCTTTAATTTTTGTCTTGACATCAATGATATACAGTATATTAATAATAATAATAATAACATTCTGCATAGGTTATCGATAACAATTCACTGACTGGCCTTACACGGTGAAACTTTCATGCAACAAGTTGCATGTTGTGAGTTGCCTGCAACATAATTCCTGTGCAGCTTACAATTAAAAAACAATTAAAGTTACACGCAACACATTCGACGACTTTACTTGTTAAGCAAATTAACAGCTCATACTTTTTAATACTCCATATCGTTCTGCTGCATTTCTATCTTCTTTGTGTATTTTTCCAGCTGTGGCTGCTGTTCTGTTTTCTGTATCATTATATCTGTTTTGTGTCCAAATAACTGTCTAGTTGTATTTACTGTATATTTGAGTTTATCTGTTGCATGTATGTTTATCCTTTGAAAATTTATTTTTAAGTAGTCGATGACTTGATGTCTCACTCACTTTGTCCTAGAAGCACTGCAACGTCATCGAGGAGCGTTTCAGTCTCTTCTTCTGTAATAATTTATATCACTTGGATCCTAAATGAATCTGAACTCTGTAAAATTAGGAGTGTCAATAGAGGAGGAAAGGAATCTGGCGATGTAGGTGATGAGAACAGCATCACTCTTTTCTACTTTGGTGAAATCAACGGCTTTATCACGTGAAGCATGATCACTGTTTTCATTGTTTCATGAACTTGTTTCAGGAAGTTTAAATGCTTGCAACGGTTGTGGCCAAGTTTCAAACAAGTTGCAGGACGCTTTACATTTTGCAGCTGTGCAGTGCAGTGTAGTTTCATGTAGGTTTCAAGCAACTACAGTTGCATGAATGTTTCACGGTGTGAAGCCAGCCTAGTTATAATTTGTATATCACATTAAAGAAAATAATAATATATTGAGAACATCAATAACAACAGGCAGAGTGCAGTGATAACAGTATCTCCGGTACTGTGTAGATCTGATGATGTGATGTTTTTATCCAGGCGGCGTGGTACTCCACTGCACAGGCCTCTAATTTCCTGAATGCTGTTCGGGAGCTCCGATTGGACAGATTCAGTGCAGACGAGCTGGTGAATAACAGCTTCATTAGTCTGTGGTTTGGTGGACTTCTCCGCCCAGTGCTGCCCTCTGCCTCCGCTACATTCCTCATCTGCATGAGCAGCAGGAACTTCTCCTGCCAGACCTTCCAGACCATGTAAGGACATGCTAAGCTCTTGTTTCACATGGCAACTTTGGAATTTCCCTGAATGAAAATGATCTGAGCCAGCAAGTACAGTTATATAGAGCAATATTAACCAGATAATAAACTGGGAAACGTATATCCATCAGCCCACCAACCATTATCGCTAAATGTGAAACTCTGCTCTCTGTGGAGTGGTGCTGGTTGTTGTGCCAGCACTAGCTTAGTTATCAGGCTAACAGCTCCACTCACCACAGTACAGATTGCTGGACAGGAGTCCCAAAGCCACGCCCACACTTTACATATTTAAAAAACTGAGGTGTTTTCCATCATTACAGTGAATTAGTCTTCTGGTTCTCTCAGCTTCCTAAATAGTATTAGCTAAGAGAACAAGAAGACTGACTTCATTTTACTTTACCCAACTGGTTCAGCGTCAGAGCTGAAACACATTTAGGACTTTTAACTGATCTTGAAACCCTGTTTCAGTAGTGACTTTCAGTAGCGTCTGTTTCAGTAGCGTCTGTTTCAATAGTGACTGTTTCAGTAGTGACTGTTTCAGTAGCGTCTGTTTCAGTAGTGGCTGTTTCAGTAGCGTCTGTTTCAGAAGTGACTGTTTCAGTAGTGTCTTTTTCAGTAGTGACTGTTTCAGTAGTGACTGTTTCATTAGTGTCTTTTTCAGTAGCGTCTGTTTCAGTAGTGCTTTTCAGGAGTGTCTGTTTCAGTAGTGGCTGTTTCAGTAGTGTCTGTTTCAGTAGTGACTGTCTCAGTAGTGACTGTTTCAGTAGCGTCTGTTTCAGTAGCGTCTGTTTCAGTAGCGACTGTTTCAGTAGCGACTGTCTCAGTAGTGTCTGTTTCAGTAGCATCTGTTTCGGTAGTGACTGTTTCAGTAGTGATTGTTTCAGTAGTGGCTGTTTCAGTAGTGACTGTTTCAGTAGTGACTGTTTCGGTAGTGTCTGTTTCGGTAGTGACTGTTTTGGTAGTGTCTGTTTCGGTAGTGTCTGTTTCGGTAGTGTCTGTTTCGGTAGTGGCTGTTTCAGTAGCGTCTGTTTCAGTAGCGGCTGTTTCAGTAGTGGCTGTTTCAGTAGCGACTGTGTCAGTAGTGGCTGTGTCAGTAGTGACTGTTTCAGTAGTGACTGTGTCAGTAGTGGCTGTGTCAGTAGTGGCTGTTTCAGTAGTGACTGTCTCAGTAGTGGCTGTTTCAGTAGCGTCTGTTTCAGTAGCGACTGTTTCAGTAGTGACTGTCTCAGTAGTGTCTGTTTCAGTAGCATCTGTTTCGGTAGTGACTGTTTCAGTAGTGTCTGTTTCAGTAGTGACTGTGTCAGTAGTGACTGTGTCAGTAGCGTCTGTTTCAGTAGTGACTGTTTCAGTAGTGACTGTTTCAGTGACAATTTTAGCTCATTTTGAGCTCAAAAAAGCCAGTAAATGACCAGCAAACACAGCTTTGAACAGCTGTGATTTTTCACACAGAAAATCATCATATTTATAATTAAAACACTAAAAAGTGCTGAACTGCAGTAAATATGATGATTCTTAATGTTCCACACTGATTTTCAGACTTTGGGACTCGTTTACTTCAAAACAATGGGATCTAACTGCTCACCATGTGGCCATGAGGGACAGGGATGCAGCCTCACTCCCTGCTCTGAAATGCAGGGGCGTGGCTACAATAAGGCTCCGCCCACAGACTAAAATGCTGTGTTTTGGTAGTGACATCAAAACATGAGAGAACATTTTTTATTTAAAAATTTATCTCATGATAAATCAAAACCTTTCAATTTCAGTTTAAAAAACTCAAAAAGTTCATAATTTTTTTTTATTTAATTTTTTTAAGTATATTTTTCACAAATGTAAATTTGTAAATAGGGTTCTCCCAATAGAAAGTACCCTATAAATGTCGATTATATATATATTTAGTTTACTATCTCTATTAATGTTTTGGGTTTAAATAGATCAGAACAGATCCACTGTAAATATCTAAAATCTGAATTCTTCAGTGCAGTTTGAACGAATTCGACAGAATAAAGAAAATTGAAGAGAAATTATTTGTTGGATTCTGGCTAATTGAAGCTCCACTGACATCAGTTTCGAGAATAAAGACTCAAATCTGAGCATGGAAAAGTTAGCAAAAGCATCCTGTGTTAGCTGAGATGGTGGCGTGGCACCGATGGTAGTGCTAGTGCTAGCTTAGTTAGCAGGCTGAGAGCTCCATAGTTACATTCCAGCGAGCTGATGCTCCACTGACAGGTTTGGAGGATAATGTTTTGCTCTCTTCTGTTGCTCTTTCAGTGTCCAAGTTTTCAACAATGACTTCTCCAGCTTGAACTCATTCCAGTTGTGGATGGTGACGAATCAATTCATATTGAATTTCCTCTCGAGAGAACGAGCAGGTAATCCATACGCACCACCACCAAGCCTGTAATATTACCATAATAAGTCTAACATTCACAAAAACCAAAAACACTACTAGGGATGAGCATTTTTGTTAGATTTAATATTTAATTTTAAGGCATTATTTGAAATATATTCCAATAAAAAAGGCCTCATCCCAAAAAGAATCAAGGATTACACCTTACACACACTTTGACATTCACATTTTCAATTCATTAATAGAAAATATCATGGTAACACTTTCTATGAATGTCACATTTGTAAGCATTTATAAACACATTCATAACATGTTATAATGCATGCATAAGACATTATAAACATAGCTATAAATATTTATAAAAATGCATTATATGTTATTGCTTATTATGCATTATGAATTGTTAACCTAATACATTATAAGTACTGATCATAACAAATTATAAGAGCTCATAAGTTGTATTTGTCCGCTCTAAGTAAAGTGAAGCGTACTGTACTAAAGCCTCCTCCAGTGTTCAGAGTGAGGCTTCAAGTTGAAGTATTTACTGAAGGATTTACTGAAACACTAAAACATTCACAGTAAAGCACATTACAGGCTTCAAATGTCAGAGTTTAAACTAGAGCTGCCATCAGTGTTTTACCCAATGTGGGAAAGGTAATGTACACCACCGTTAGCTTGGTATTTGTCTTTACGCTCTCCAAGCTGGGACTGACTTCATTGGCACTGACATTATAACATGTTATCAACACTATTTATAATGCATTATATTAACAATTCATAATGTATAATAAACATGGCTATAAAGTGTAATTCAGTGTAATTCTTTTTTATAAACATTTATAACCACATTTATAATGCCTTATGAATACATTATAACGTTATAAATGTGTTTATAGATGCTTACATACATGCAACATTCATAGAAAGTGTTACCATCATCATCTATAAAACCCGATTCAGATGTATGATCTATCTTGTGCTCTAACCATGATGTTTTACTTCTTTTTTAGATTGTTGTCTTTAATGTATTACCTGAATATGTGCATTGATATGTATATGCAGGGTTTATGTAATGTGCATTACTTGAAGTGCATTAACTAGCTGGCTAGCTACCGTATTTAGCCAAGTAACTGTTATAACTAACAACATTTAGTTATCCTAGCTTTGCAAATGTAAACACTGGAATTGTTTGTGTCAAAAATGATCACTGCTGCTTATACGGCAGTATGCAATAGTTTGGTGACATATTTTGTTAAATACAGCCATTCAGAGTTATTTCAATCCGAGGGTTAATGCACAGGCAATTTATATTTGATTCACTTAAAGATTGAAAAAAAAAATATTGTAATTGTGCAAAAGTTTGGACACCATTCCAGTTGTAAAGTCTCATAATTAACTCGTAAGGTTTTAATTGACTCATTAGGACTGGTTAGGTGATGAGGAACTGTCAGCTGATGACAATTCCACAGCGTAAAAAATGCTCAGACTCTTTAGGCCCTCTGAGCAGCTGGCTGAGAATCTAAAAATGATGCTAATTGATGCCTACAGGAGAAAACTATAAACAAGCATCAGAGAGCTTCCAGCTTGCAATTTCCACCTTCTGAAATTTCATTAAGAAATGGCAGTCAAGGGGAACTGTGGAAGTCAAGGCAACATTAGGAAGACCAAGAAAACTCTCGGATAGAACAGCTCAATATGCTGGCCAGAAAGGCAAAGCAAAACCCCCACATGACAGCATTCTAATGATCCACATGGAAGAGTCATCAGAAGGAAACCTTACCTGTGACCCCATCACAAAAGCTAGCCAGCCTGCTGGTTAATGCAGCTACAGTATTACACATTATATAGGCTCTGCATAAACCTATCAGAGCATGTATCTTCTGGTAATACTTGAGCTTGACAAGGTCTTCAGATACAACATTATCTCCACAAACAAAAACTAAAACTGTCCAGGCTGTGCTTCTCTGTGGTTCTGTATGGATGTGAAAGCTGGACAGACAAGACATGAAAAATATAGATGTCTTTAAACTTTAACACTGACGAAGACTTTTAAGAGAACCTTGGATAGGAAAAGAAACAAATTAATGGATCTTCAACCAAATCAGGCCTCACCTCACCAAACTGAAGCTCTTATTCTGGACACATTCTGTTCAGACTCTACAGATCTCAGGACTGATGTTCAGAAACTAAAACACACAGAAACCAGAAGCTTGTAGGCTCTACAGAGCTTCATTCAGACTCTACTGATCTCATAATATTGAAACCAGACAGCTACATGTTCTACAGAGCTCCATTCAGGCTATAGTTATTACAAAAGTGATGTTGAAAGACCACACACAGAAACCAGGTGGTTATAGGTTCTTCAGAGTTTCATTCAGACTCTAATGATCTCAGAATTGATGTTCAGAAACTGAAACACACAGAAACCAGAAGGTTATAGGTTCTACAGAGCTTCATTCAGACTCTAAAGATCTCAGAATTGATGTTCAGAAACTGAAACACATAGAAACCAGGTGGTTATAGGTTCTACAGAGCTTCATTCAGACTCTAAAGATCTCAGAATTGATGTTCAGAAACTGAAACACACAGAAACCAGGTGGTTATAGGTTCTACAGAGCTTCATTCAGACTCTAAAGATCTCAGAATTGATGTTCAGAAACTGAAACACACAGAAACCAGGTGGTTATAGGTTCTACAGAGCTTCAATCAGACTGTGCTGATCTCAGAACAGGAACCAGGACGTTATAGGTTCTACAGAGTGTGTCCCTATTGCTTAGTGCTAAACATGACGTTTGAACTCTTAGTAAACTCTGTATAAACCTATCAGAGCATGTATCTTCTGGTAATACATGAAAGACAACAAAGATCTCGGATAGTTCACACTGTTTGAATCTGGCATTTTTAGAGTCATTTCCATTAGTAAACTGGAAAATTTGAACCAAGATGAATAATAGATTGTTGCTGCCAGACAAAAACCTTGTATTTCCAGAATGGTAACTTTTCAGAAGGGAAAAAAAAACTTCCTTAACAATAGAAGTTAATAGACAGAGATGGACTATTAGACATTTCTACTGTCTACATATCCCATAAACCTGTGTGTCAGTGCTGATGCGGTTAAGGCCTCAGCATACTTCTTGCAGATACAATGTTTGCCTGGTTTTGGTGAACAGTATGAAGTAATGAAGTGCACTATTGGTATCTTGGCAATGTCAAGATGCTTCAGATTGCCTTTCAAATTCAGTTGCAGATACTTTCATCACAACACTGCCTGACTTCTAAGGCACTGACCTTCGAGGCAGCAGGGCATTGAGAAACAGCTGCCTCCAGTTTCACATTCAGCCAAATATTTTTGTTCTGACAGCAATGATAGACTAAATTTAGCATCTAGAAACACTCTCTGAAAATGTGGTACTAAACTATCACTGGTGTGGAACCCTCAAGGGTACCTCTTCAGCACCTTTACTCAGCGAACATAACAGTACGGTATTTTATTTAACTATATTTTTAAGCTGCTTTGACTTCACACCCCCTGTCTGCACTACAGACTTGTAAAACAATAGGTTGTATGTATGTTCAAATGCTTTGTTGTTGTGCATATGCAGTGTGAATGTAGTGTGTCCATGTGTAATGTGCATGTTTCCTGTCGCAGAGTCGGCGTGTGTGTCGAACAACAGCGCCCAGTGGCTGATTAAGAACTTCGGAAACTTCTCATCTCTCATGTCTCTCTCACAGATCTTACATCTGAACCCACAGTTCAATCCAGTATGTAAATACGCAGGCATTCACAGTCACTTTATCTCACCAAGTATGTTGTATATACAAGGAATTAGTCTTGGTGAGTCACACAAACATGACATTAACACACTGAACAGA